TCCTCCATGATGTCTTTGCCTTTCCACTCTGTACAGAATTCAAACACAGTATGTGTTCAGCATAGGAACTGTAAACAATGTACACAAAAATGTAGTACAGCATGATAACCAACCTCATTCATTCAATGCAGTGCAGTACATGGATGGCTTAGAGTTACAAATGTTTATGCAATACTATGCAGTCATACGTATTTTACAGTACATTACTCTAATGCTAAAATAGTCATTAGATAGTTGCATACCTGTTCTCATTTCTGAAGGTTCGAATTATGGACGCCACTGTAAATCGACTCAAGTTGGGCTGGACTCTCAGTCCAGCCTCTCTCATGGTCAAACCGTGGTTGATCACATGATCAACAAGTGTTGCCCTAATCTCATCAGAGATGGCTCTCCTTCCTTCTCTTCTTTGCCCTCGTCCTCTTCCTCTTCCTCCTCCTCCTCCTCCTCCAACTCTTCATCTTTGAATTTGTCCTCGTTGTTGTCCCCTGCCTCTCCCTCCTACTCCTCTTGCTCTGTCCATTGTTGGCATCCATTGTTCAAAACAGTCCTATACTACAGTAAAGCAGTGATTGGTTAGTGATCAGTAAAGCAATTAGTGTTTGAACATTCGAGGAGAGTGTGTTTGACCTGGTGAATAAGTGTAGCATTTTGATTGGTTGTGTTTGGAAAAGGAAAGCAAGTCACTTCCTGTTAGATTTTTGTGTTTTAGGTAGAGAATTGTGTGTAGTGTTTTGAAAAAAGTGTTTTATGCAATTGACAACTGAGTCAAAGGCTGAGAAATAGCTTATGGTTTTGGAGATTTGGTGTGTAGTTTTGCACTTTGAGTGAGAAGTTTCAAAAATCGTGTGACATGAAAAGATTTTGTGTGTAAGCAGTTGGAAAAAACTGTAATAATTACTGATCTCTCTCAGTCAGAATCAGTCTGAAGAAGTGGGATTTAAGCGACGGATGACTGCTGGAGGTAGGGACACACACTCCAGCTCATCAGAATACTCTGTCCATCCATGTACCCAACTGTTGTCTTTTGACTCAACCCAAAATGCACAAAGGGGGAGTTTGTGATGAATGTAATGCAATAACGAGGTGCATCATGGGTCTAGAATGAATAGTCTTTCCAGCTATTCCTCTCAGGGCCTCTATATTGATTTCTCTCTGTGAGTCACATTGTTCCTCAACATAACATAGCCCTACATTAGCGTAGGAGTTCCACTTGAAGCACAGAAGGGATGGCAGAACAATGTTTTTAAAGACACTATGCTCTAACTAATGTCAGGTCTTAGACAGAGCCAGAGTCATTTAACCTCCTGACTGGTCAAGATGCTCAGTTCCAGGCAAACTTCGATTTAAAAGGAAGGTGCCTTTAATGTCCTCCATGAACTACATTCTCTGGGGGAAATGATTCAATTTGGCAATTTATTCATATTTACTGAGTGTACTTGCATTCCATTTGTTTAGATCACATCAAAGTAAAAATGAAATGGAGAAAATCTAATCAACATATTAAGACATACTGGGCAGTTGTATGGAGTCTGCAGTCATATAGGCCCTGCAGGGTTCACTCCCATGCTTTTTATTTGATGTCCCTTCTAAATCTATCCGAATCACATTAAATTCGATATAAAGATGTGCACACACATTCATCACAGTAAATGGTGTGGTGGAGCATCACTCGCCAAGAGTCCCACCTCAACAACCAGGTTATAAAATAGGCTTTAGATCCGATTAATAATTCACAATCCTGTTAGAAGAGAACAAACATTTTTGTTCAAGCAATTTAAGTTGCGGGATTGTTATTATAGCCGGGTGCTTGAGCCGTGCTGGGAGATGGTCTCGGTGTGGGTCTGCGACGGAGGAGAGGCTGTGAAATTTAAGCTGGCTCCAGCTCGCTGTGTGCGGAAGAATAACTCCAGGCTATTTCACAGTCTCTGCTTTCTTTATTAAAGCACCGGCACAGTAAACATGTCTTACCCACGCTTATCTGTACAGCCTTTTTATTTGGGATCATCCAACCCCCTCACTCACTCTCTTCCCCCCTCCCTATAATATAATAATAATATAATATCCCATTTAGCAGACGCTTTTATCCAAAGCGACTTACAGTCATGCGTGCATAAATTTTTGTGTATGGGTGGTCCCGGGGATCGAACCCACTACCTTGGCGTTACAAGCGCCGTGCTTTACCAGCTGAGCTACAGAGGACCTAACCCACCATGTCACTCTCAGGGCACATACAGGTTCTCACAGACAAGATACCTTGTCCCAAAAGAGTGAACCTGGTTAGATGATAGGTGTCATATTGTTATATGTATCAGGCTATTAGTAAAATAAGCTTGTAATATTATCACAGTCAACCATCATTCCCATCATCCTTTCACAAAGTAACAGAACAGGAATGTATTACTTTTACACACCAAGACCTCAGCTTATTTAGTAATCAGTCATCATTGTATAACATTTGTATAAAATAAATGAAAATAAATTAAATATTTGTTTTTTGTGTTTTGTATGAGTAAAACCAAAGCTTTATGGTATACCAAATACAGTCTTAACCAGCCACCGTCTAACATTATCCCCACACCCCATACTATTAAACTTAATAGCATATCTTTCTTTCTTATATTGAATCTTTTGGATTGTAAATGAGGTGTTGATATTTAGTCAAGGTAGTGAGATCTGTTTGTGTGAATGGATCCTTCTGATCATTGACCGAGTAAGTTGGTGACATGATTGTTATTTGTTTGCAAACACTGACTCCTAGTGTTTCATAAACGACAGTACAAGCAGAATTTGACAACTACTGAACAGAAATATAAACACAACATGCAACAATTTCAATTTTTTTTACTGAGTTACAGTTCATATAACGAAATCAGTCAATTTAAATAAATTCATTAGACCCTAATCTATGGATTTCACGTGACTGAGAAATATAGATATGCATCTGTTGGTCACAGATACCTTTAAAAAAAAGTAGGGGTGTGGATCAGAAAACCAGTGTGACCACCATTTGCCTCATGCAGCACGACACATCTCCTTTGCATAGAGTTGATCAGGTTGTTGATAGTGTCCTGTGGAATGTTGTCCCACTCCTCTTCAATGGCTGTGCGAAGTTGCTGGCTATTGGCGGGAACTGGAACACGCTGTCATGCACGTCGATCCAGTGCTTCCCAAACATGCTCAATGGGTGACATGTCTGGTGAGTATGCAGGCCATGGAAGAACAGGGACATTTTCAGCTTCCAGGAAATGTGAACAGATCCTTGCGACATGGGAATGTGCATTACAATGCTGAAACATGAAGTGATGGCGGCGGATGAATGGCACGACAATTGGCCTCAGGATCTTGTCACGGTATCACTGTGCATTCAAATTGCCATCGATAAAATGCAATTGTGTTCATTGTCCGTAGATTATGCCTACCCATACCATAACCCCACCGCCACCATGGGGCACTCTGTTCACAACGTTGACATCAGCAAACCGCTTGCCCACACGTCGCCATACACATGGTCTGCGGTTGTGAGGCCGGTTGGACGTACTGCCGAATTCTCTAAAACGACGTTGGAGGCGGCTTATGGTAGAAAAATTAACAAATTCTCTGGCAACAGCTCTGGTGGACATTCCTGCAGTCAGGGTGCCAATTGCACGCTCCCTCAAAACTTGATACATCTGTGGCATTCTGTTGGGTGACAAAACTGCACATTTTAGAGTGGCCTTTTATTGTCCCCAGCACAAGGTGCACCTGTGTAATGATACTGCTGTTTAATCAGCTTTTTGATATGCCACAACTGTCAGGTGGATGGATTATCTTGGCAAAGGAGAAATTCTCACTAACAGGAATGTAAACAAATATGTGCACAAAATTTGAGAGAAATAAGCTTAACGTGTGTATGGAACATTTCTGGGATCTTTTATTTCAGCTAATGAATCATGGTATCAACACTTTACATGTTGCGTTTATATTTTTGTTCAGTGTAGATCAGAGACAACCTCTAATTAGCCTCTATAGGCGGCAGGTAGCATAGTTGTTAAACGCTTTGGGTCAGTAACCGAGCCAAATGTGTGAAAAATCTGTCGATATGCCCTTGAGCAAGGCACTTAACCTTAACTGCTCCTGTAAGTCACTCTGGATAAGAGCATCTTCTAAATGACTAACTTGTAAATGTCAAATAGGCATTTCCATATTATTTTTACCTATACATCTACCCTCTCAGATCTGCATAAGTGGCTAAGGGTTAGGCCAGGGCAAGTGGTTGTTTCTGGACCAGGCCAAAATGTAGATTTCATAACATTTAAGCTTTTAAGTAAGCAACAATAAACCCCCAGTCTTAGAAGAAAGAAATCGTGAACACTTGGAATGTTTGCATTTGTTTTGGACTTTGATCAAAGCACCTCCAAACATGACCATGAGTGTACAGTATATACCGAGTGTACAAAACATTAAAGGCACCTTCCTAATATTGAGTTGAGATTTAACAGGTGACATCAATAAGGGATCATAGCTTTCACCTGGATTCACCTGGTCAGTCTATGTCATGGAAAGAGCAGGTGTCCTTAATGTTTTGTACACTCAGTGTATATTGTAGGGGGCAATTTAGGGTAAGGGGTTGTATTGTAGGGAGCATAATGTAACATAAGAAGGAAAATTGCACAAATTAATACTAATACCAGTACAAACTCTGGGTCAATGTAAACACATTCTTGAATAATGGTGAGTTTAGTTAGAGTGCAATCCGAAAACGTAGCATTACTGTAACATTATCAGAGATAATTTAGTATCATACAGATTAGTACTACTTGTAGTTAAGTTTGAAATGTTTATGTTTCTATAAAACAAGTATTTAAAAAAAGGCATTTCATGCATTAAAAACTGATACACTATATGTTGCGTATCAGAGTCTGATACAACACAATTATAATGAATATGTATTCAATAACAAAGGCCAATGATTTGGAATAAATCCAGTCCGTATGCGTTGTAGTATGTAAAATACTTTGAAGTTATCGCCCACTGTCAGAGATTGTCCACAGTGTTAATTCCAATGGCATTGTCTCCTGGTGCTCGCTGTGTGAGGCTCTTGTGAGTTTCTACCTTTCTTTCCCACAACCATACTGCTGTACATCTTCTGTTGCTGCTCTTTAAATTCTTCTTTCACCTTGTCTCTCTTCAAGCTCCCATCCCTGTAGAGAGAGAGACAGACATGTTCTACAGTTGCCATGGCGCCCTTTTGGCAGCCTAGGCAGAGAGCTCCTGTATATTTTCTAAATATTTCATGTTTTTTGAATAGCCAAACTAGTATAGATTTAGTCTGGATTACATAATTTTTGTTTCCTGCCCGAGAATGAATGGTAAAACAGCTTTTCAAGATGGCTAGCTAACAATGCTAGCTAGCTAGCTATTTTGATTTGAATTAATCAGCCTACATTGGGATGTTTCTACGGTCTCCTTGATCCAAGAGGGGGCCTACAATGCAGTGGCGAGTTGGCAGTGAGAAATTCATCGCTCAAGAGCATTCCTCCAAAGTTATGAGTGTACTGTATCCTGAGTGAATGGGGACCAACGGCATCGATCTCATTCTACAAGTGTCCTACCGCACGGAGAAGACGCGGACGGCGAGACACCCAGCTTGAGGTACCTGCCCCCGGACGACCTGATCTGGTTGCTCAGCTCTCCCTGTTGACCCCCTGCACCTCCCTCTGTTCAAGCCTTGTGCTATTGACTGTCGCTCCATCTGTTGGAGGTTTGAAGTAGCCTACTCAGAACCTTGAAGTAGCTTACCCAGAACTTTGAAGTAGGCTACTCAGAACTTTGAAGTAGCCTACTCAGAACTTTGTAGTCCAGACATATACTCATGTCATTCACATTTTTTGTTGCTGTTTGTTTTGCTTTTTAAGCACCTCGAGATATGTTTACTTCTATGTGCTGTGTACTGCAATTCAGATTTTAGCTGCCAAGTACAGCCTACTTGTAACACATTATTATAGTACAGTATGGTTCACAGCACATTTTCTTTTGATCCCAGAACTCTATTATGATAGAATGACATGTTTTAAGGGATCTTTAGTGAGAATAAAGTTTACTGAGGGTTTCCTTACCATGCCATGTCCAATAGCCCTCCCTGATGTGCGATAGCAGACTTCACTCTGTTGGCAAACTGGGTAGCATCTTCCCCTTCCTATCCAAAGTGGCAATGAAGAAAGATATGATAAAAAAATATATATAGAGAGGAGTCTTATGTATGTCTATGGTCCTGGGGTAAGAGGAGTGTGTACTCTATAAAGGTTTGTGAATAAAACACAACATAAGGTCCAACCTGTTGGTCATGGGAGGAAGTAGCAGTAATACAGTATATAGAGTGTGACAATCTACCTGTCTGGTCATTGGGGGCAGGTACCACACGTTGACCACGATGGCCCAGCTGGTCATCATTCTCAGCAGGTAGCTCACCATGTTGTACTTGGCACTGTTCCAGAAGGCATCTCCAAAACGAGGGTCATACTAACAGGGAAGGAGAAAGGACATCCAAGCTAATATTAATCAAAAGCACAGGAGGTTGGTGGCACCTTAATTGGGGAGAATGGGCTCGTGGTAATGACTGGAACGGAATAAGTGGAATGGTTTCCAGGTGTTTGATGCCATTCCATTTGCTCCGTTCCGGACATTATTATGAGCCGTTCTCCCCTCAGCAGCCTCCACTGATCAAAAGGCATTTACATGAAAATGATATAAAACAATAGCCGACAAAGTCAACATGTAACAAGTGAAGGTCAATATGTAACAATCTTTACTGTCATATAGTAACTGCTGATTGATGACAGAGCCCGGGTTAGAACACAAGAGAGGCATTTCAGAGATTCAGACAATGGACAATTTACTGAAGACTGCAGCGAGTACCTTGATTGCAACTGGGTATATTGTCCCTCCAATCTCAAAGCTTCCCTTCTTGAACATCATGACCGATGTGTTGTTGATGCAGGTTCCTGCAGGAGGAGATAAAAAGGTAATGAGACAACCACAACCACAAACTTCCAGGAGCGTTGGAGTCAATTCCATTTCAACTTTGTCAATTCAGGAAGTAGATTGCATTTAAAAATTAATAATAATAATTGGATATGAGTTTACTTTATGGATTGACTGAAATTAAATGGAATTGACCCCAACCACACCTTCCAGACAGCAGTTGAAGGTGGATGAGACAACTAGTATAAAGACTACAATAAAGTCATAGTCTATAGACTACAATAAAGTCCTAGTATCTAGACTACAATAAAGTCCTAGTATCTAGACTACAATAAAGTATAAAGACTACAATAAAATATAAAGACTACAATAAAGTCATAGTATATAGACTACAATAAAGTCCTAGTATCTAGACTACAATAAAGTCCTAGTATAAAGACTACAATAAAATATAAAGACTACAATAAAGTCATAGTATATAGACTACAATAAAGTCCTAGTATAAAGACTACAATAAAGTCATAGTATCTAGACTACAATAAAGTCCTAGTATCTAGACTACAATAAAGTCCTAGTATAAAGACTACAATAAAATATAAAGACTACAATAAAGTCCTAGTATATAGACTACAATAAAGTCCTAGTATAAAGACTACAATAAAGTCCTAGTATAAAGACTACAATAAAGTCCTAGTATAAAGACTACAATAAAGTCCTAGTATAAAGACTACAATAAAGTCCTAGTATAGACATTACAATAAAGTCCTAGTATGAAGACTACAATAAAGTCCTAGTATAAAGACTACAATAAAGTCCTAGTATAGACATTACAATAAAGTCCTAGTATGAAGACTATACTAAAGTCCTAGTATATAGACTACAATAAAGTCCTAGTATAGAGACTTACCCTCTGGGAAAATCAAAATGGGTAGATTGCTCTTCGCTGCAACATGAGCACTCAATCTAGGAGAGGATGGAGGGAGGGAGATCAATAACCAGGACAACACTAATCACGATGAAAACAATACAATGTATGAGATGATTGAGTGGCAGCAATGGCAATGTATATCGTTACACAAGCAATAAATCGACATTGGCAAGCGATTCATTCACTTTACAGAAGACAACTGAAAAAGACATACTAAATGCATCTCCTGCTGTCTTTTCCCATTTACTTGCCGTCTCACCTACTGGTAACAGCATGTCGGTCTCTCATCTCCGACCTCTCGAACCATACATGGGGGCAGGACCTCACCATTGACCTCTGGATGACCCCCATCAGCCCACTGTGACTTTGACCCACCTGGGAATAAATCCGGACACAGTGAGCATGACAACTCCAGTCTGCAGAGAACCAAAAGTGATGGATACGATATCAAATTTCAGTCATATGTTGACACCGCCATGTTCATGTTACCCACCATAGCGTAGCATCCATCATTGGCCAAAATGACAATGTCAATAGGCGAGGTGTGGTTCGCTACGCATATTCCTCCTTTTTGTGGTTTATTCTTTCTGTAAAAAATAAGTATTTATTTCAATGACATCATGACATTGAAAATGTTGATACTAATATTACTTCCTAAATGTTTATTTTAGTTAGTTTTGGCTGTATACTAACTTGTTGTGGTATTGGATGGTGGCAGAGAGGCCTCTGGCACAGATCCTGTAGCACATCAGATGGACTAACTCACTGAGCCAGTTCTTCACTCTAGAACACAAGAGCAATGTACGGTAACAGCCAGGGACATTCTATTCTCTCAAGCCGTATATCAACTCTCGAGCTAGCTAGCTGTTATAAGAGATAGGAACATTCAATGTTCCTATCAATCTTCCTATCACCACAGTTTATGAAAGTTCTAAAACATTGTGTACATCGTTGTTACCTCCTGTTAGGTAGAAACCCCACCAAAGTTGTCCCGATCACCAGCCAGCTCAACCCTATGATTGCCAGGGTTATCCTGAAAATAAGATCAAAACAAATGTAAAAAATATATATACACTGCTCAAAAAAAAAAAGGGAACACTAAAATAACACATCCTAGATCTGAATGAATGACATAATCTTATTAAATACTTTTTTCTTTACATAGTTGAATGTGCTGACAACAAAATCACACCAAAATCACACAAAAATTATCAATGGAAATCAAATGTATCAACCCATGGAGGTCTGGATTTGGAGTCACCCTCAAAATTAAAGTGGAAAACCACACTACAGGCTGATCCAACTTTGATGTAATGTCCTTAAAACAAGTCAAAATGAGGCTCAGTAGTGTGTGTGGCCTCCACGTGCCTGTATAACCTCCCTACAACGCCTGGGCATGCTCCTGATGAGGTGGCGGATGGTCTCCTGAGGGATCTCCTCCCAGACCTGGACTAAAGCATCCGCCAACTCCTGGACAGTCTGTGGTGCAACGTGGCGTTGGTGGATGGAGCGAGACATGATGTCCCAGATGTGCTCAATTGGATTCAGGTCTGGGAAATGGGTGGGCCAGTCCATAGCATCAATGCCTTCCTCTTGCAGGAACTGCTGACACACTCCAGCCACATGAGGTCTAGCATTGTCTTGCATTAGGAGGAACTCAGGGCCAACCGCACCAGCATATGGTCTCACAAGGGGTCTGAGGATCTCATCTCGGTACCTAATGGCAGTCAGGCTACCTCTGGCGAGCACATGGAGGGCTGTGCGGCCCCCCAAAGAAATGCCACCCCACACCATGACTGACCCACCGCCAAACCGGTCATGCTGGAGGATGTTGCAGGCAGCAGAGTGTTCTCCACGGCATCTCCAGACTCTGTCACGTCTGTCACGTGCTCAGTGTGAACCTGCTTTCATCTGTGAAGAGCACAGGGCACCAGTGGCGAATTTGCCAATCTTGGTGTTCTCTGGCAAATGCCAAACGTCCTGCACGGTGTTGGGCTGTAAGCACAACCCCCACCTGTGGACATCGGGCCCTCATACCACCCTCATGGAGTCTGTTTCTGACCGTTTGAGCAGACACATGCACATTTGTGGCCTGCTGGAGGTCATTTTGCAGGGCTCTGGCAGTGCTCCTCCTGCTCCTCCTTGCACAAAGGCAGAGGTAGCAGTCCTGCTGCTGGGTTGTTGCCCTCCTACGGCCTCCTCCACGTCTCCTGATGTACTGGCCTGTCTCCTGGTAGCACCTCCATGCTCTGGACACTACGCTGACAGACACAGCAAACCTTCTTACCACAGCTCGCATTGATGTGCCATCCTGGATGAGCTGCACTACCTGAGTCACTTGTGTGGGTTGTAGACTCCGTCTCATGCTACCACTAGAGTGAAAGCACCGCCAGCATTCAAAAGTGACCAAAACATCAGCCAGGAAGCATAGGAACTGAGAAGTGGTCTGTGGTCACCACCTGCAAAACCAGTCCTTTATTGGGGGTGTCTTGCTAATTGCCTATAATTTCCACCTGTTGTCTATTCCATTTGCACAACAGCATGTGAAATGTATTGTCAATCAGTGTTGTTTCCTAAGCGGACAGTTTGATTTCACAGAAGTGTGATTTACTTGGAGTTACATTGTGTTGTTTAAGTGTTCCCTTTATTTTTTTGAGCAGTGTATATATATATACATTCAAATCGTGTCTAATAATAATAATAATAATATTAGTAATAATTGCACTCCAATAAATCAGTTGACAGAAACTGAACTGAACAAACTGTTGATTGTGGTCCTCTGTAGCTCAGCTGGTAGAGCACGGCGCTTGTAACGCCAAGGTAGTGGGTTCGATCCCCGGGACCACCCATACACAAAAATGTATGCACGCATGACTGTAAGTCGCTTTGGATAAAAGCGTCTGCTAAATGGCATATTAATTTAATTATTAATTGATTGGTCTGAGATGGATAGAGTTAAGGGGGGGGTGTTGTCAGACCCACCTGAGAGGGAAAAGGACACAGTAACGTATGATCACGCCCAGGCCCCAGATGACGGTGAGGCGCAGGCTGATGTAGTGAAAGTTGTGGTTGGTGCGGGTCAGCAGGTTCCAGGAGACCAGCTCCTCAGAGGAGAAGCGCTGAGTCACCTGGTCGTCCACGATGCTCTCCAGGCCCTTTCTGTAGAAGTAGAATGAGTCGCTCAGCGCAAAGTCTCCCCTGGATATGGACTGGGTACGATACCGACGCAGCTCCCCCATCTCCTGTTCCATAGAGCCACCCTCCCTCTGGATGAGTCCTGGGAAGAGATGAGAGGAACAGCACAGATACATCTCTGAGTGGGTAGCATGACTTTGTACCTGTAGGTTTAGTCATAGTCAGAGATTTTCAGATGTAGGACATTAAATATGATGGATTAGCCTGTAGAGTGGGGGATGTATAGGAAGGATTGTATGTAAAGAGTAAAATATACACCTACTAATTGAGGCACTGTATCTATCTATGCTCTTCCTCTCTTGGTATAAAGAGATCCCAGAGAAGGTAAAGCCGATGAGGAATGCGATGGGAGGACTGTTGTGGCATAGCCCATCAGTACCAGGTACGTCTGAGAGCACAGAGCTCGCATTCCTTTTCGCTGTACTCAGCACTGATGTACTGTATTTTACCCTGCTCCAGTAAAACACGGAATACTTTTCTAATAACTTACTGGTTAACAATTTGCTTGTGTCATGATTATACAGTTATATACACTTTAGTATTATTTTCACAGAAGGGTTTTAGACGAAAGGAGAAAACATGGTGGGTTTTGTCATCTCTGCTGCTGAATGATTTGCTCAATCTTATTGCACAACATTGCATTGACTTTTTGTCCTTCCATACAAAGAAAAACTCTGTCCTTTTTTAAGTTTCCTGTCACGCTTGATTTAGAATACCAATGTTTCTGTGATCAAAAGATGATTGAGTGTTAATTCAACAACATAGGGTAGGATTACAGATAGACAACTTATAGAGACACCACAAAATGTCCCCAGTATAAAGCCAATCTTTTGGAATCTTCAAGGCAGTTCAAAATAGAATGTGATATACATGTCTAATAAGTGTCAAATTTAACTCAACATAGCTCCCCTGGAGATGGTGACGTGACATCTTTCAAACATTGTACAGTATATTTCCAGGAAGAGCAGATGAAGGGGGCATACAGTATTTCACAGCATGGGTTGAGGGTTAAGCTACACACATAGTCAGTTTTCTGCCTGAAGTTATGCAATCCTCTATTGCATCATCAGAGTGGGACAAGGCTGCTCCACTCCGCACGGTATCCACTAGCTTCCATATCCCAAAAGTCAGATTCCACAGCCACAAAGTCAAACTTGGCTACATTTGTTTGGGTTAGGCGTAAGGTTAGCGGTGTGGTTAAGGTTAGGGTTATGGTTACTTTTAAAATATATTTTTAAGAAGATAAATTGTAGAAATGTGCAGACTTTATTTATGACTTTGTGGGTATAGAAGCTCGTGATGATCACTCCGCACCCCCACATCAGCTGAGCTGACCAATCATAAGCCACCACACTGACACACAGTCACATGTGCAGGGTCTACTCTACTCCTTCCAGATAGAGCTGAATTCAATTCCTCATACTACAGAACACTATAGTCTAAGAGCAGAACCAAGGACTCCACATGCCAATGGGATGTTGGAAATTCAGTTCTACTGAATTCAAATATTGATCCTATAGACCATCAGAACCCAGCTCAACTTACTGGATGTGCAATTACCTTATTACTGTGTAATTAGCCTAATAGTTATTACAGGGCTATTCACATTTCAGTTAGGGGCAAAAATGGTGACATTGATCATAGTGAAGGAACCATAGAAAATAATTGCTTGGAACAAAAGTTAATGAAGAAAATAAAGATTATGCTACAGTTTGATAGTCATCCATAATAAGTTACACAGACAGGGTCCCTCCAGACCTCAGCATGAACTCACTCATTGATGGGTATTGAGTTTAAAGTCACTCACCATTGGGTAGCGGAGCAGGCACTGGCAGAGTGGGTCGATCCCTGTGTCCTCTCTGGATCCGCAGGGTGGCCCACTGCCCATAGAACAGAGATATTTTCAGTTGACCTCGCACACAATGCTTTCTACATACTGCACTTGCCCAACTGCCTGGCGTGCCCCACATTGGACATGAACTATGTCTGTCTGTTCTAAGGGGTCAGGGGGCAACATGAATACAGCAACCACAGCACAAAATCCTACATATAGTAGTGAATATAGCCTGCAGCAGCCTGAATTGTATCCGATTAATGCATTTATATAAAAACGATTTTGCTTTACATAAATCATCTGTTCGCAAACAGAATAACATAGTTCTTTATTAGATGCTATACGAGGTTATGCTTAAATAAAATGTTTCAGAATAAAATAAGAAATAGTGAGCTATTCCAGAATTCCAGAATTTGAGCTCTTCCAGAACTTCCAGCACAGTTACCTCCAGTATCTTGACCAGAATCTGAATGTAGACCGAAGTGACCCCCAGGGAGAGGCCAAACATAGCAGGTATCATGATGAGCCCAACCATCACGGAGAACCACACCTGCAGCAACAAAGTCGCTATACTCCACAGGTCCTCCATCCCTACCTCACAGAGATCTGTCATCCACTGGTATGGTACATAGGGTTCAAGTTATCTACAGAACAGAGACATAACGTTATTAACTACTCATTCCAAATAAGCATTATATTTTGGTTTTATAATAGAGGAGACTGAATGCATATTTTTGACTTGGGCCTAGCTAGGTAGCTAGCTGTGTAAAGTTAGCTAGGTAAACAGGATCTGAAACGGGATATGAACACCGAAATAGCCTAGCTAACTACACAGCCAAGCCGAGAACCACTATAAATAGCTTACATTATTGAGCCTACCATATCCGAGTTTAACTGCAGAACATGAAATGTTTCAACATGTATTAAAGACAAATAGCAAACCTGAAGACCTTTTCGTGGTCTTAGCGAGTTTTCCATTCTTCTGTACCTCGCTGTAACGGTAGTGTAGCCAGCCACAGGACTGTACGCAAATTCTGCTTGTACGCAAGTTCTGCTGTACAAATAAAACCAGGTCGTCACGAGTTACCACAGTCACAAAGTCATAAACCGCGCCTATTTCTACAATACATCTTCCTAAAATGTGATTTTAAACCTAACTCTAACATTAACCAAACAGCTAACCTTATGCCTAACCCTAACCTTAAATTAAGACCAAAAATGTATTTTTTGTTTATATGAATTTTTACGATATAGCCATTTTGACTTTATGGCTGTGGTAACTAGTGGGAATAATAAAACCTGGCGAGTCCCTTTAAAAAAGTTCACCTCTCGTGCACATGCGCAGCAATAGAGCATGCGCCTGCCATTGCAGGTAGCGCTGTTTTTACGCAATCGTAACACCAAATATATTTATTAACCCAAGATAGTTCAACTGTGTCGTTTAAAGTGGGAGTAAATGAAGCATAGTGGGCAGAACAAGCAAGGAAGTGGGCAAAGCCAAGCACGAGCTAGCGAGATCCTATTGGCATGTATTTGCATATTTCAGTTAGGGAACGCCTCCTCTATGAAATGCGCATGTGCATAAACTCAATTCGACCTTGCACTCCTAAACAATGCAATTTTTTAGAACTTTGTCAAAGCGTCAAGTCTATAAAACTCAGTGCACTGTGTTCGTACCAGATTATAGTTTTTGGGACAGAAAAATGTATTGAGATCAGATGTTTGATCGATGAGAAAATTAGCAGAATGTCGGTCCAGTTTCACCTAGTTCCATCCTCTCCCACTACCCGCGACTGGACTTCCTCTCACTACCATATTTGGTGGTGGGAAAACGTTCTAAACGGATGCTTCAGCTTTATAGCCGCTGTGACGTGTCTGGGTTACCACTTCTGTCTGTGCGGTAACACTTTCGATGTTGTCTTTCTGACTAAAAGAATCATGGCGGACTCAAACTCCTCTATTCGCGTCTCCGGATTTGTTCTTGGTTCATTGATGTTTCAGCACTTTAACAGTGATTCTGATGTGGTAAGTAGTTGGCTAGATCGCTAGCTAACTAGCTACGTTAGCTAGTTGTTGCCTAACACCACAACAGAAAGGTCTGACCAAATAGCTTACTCATTCAGATACTGGTTATTGCCAGAGATTGTTTATTATATTAAACTGCCCGTACACTTGTATGCACCTCATAACATTTTGCAGGAAGGTCTCATTCTCGGGGAGAGCAAAGCTGAAGAGAGAAGCAACATCACTGATTCTCAAATCGACAACATACAGTTTGAGCATACAATAAGTGAGTCATCAGCTGTGCACTTGATTTGAATCATTATAATATCATCTTGGTGTGTACTGACTGTTGTCTCACCCTGCTTTCTGTTCCAGACATTCAGAAACACATATCCTGTCGCAAGCTCAATAGGTAAACTGCAGAGACAAAGGTTTCTTAAAATTGTAATTCAGCTGTGTGTGTAGCTATTTCAACAGTTTATCTATCATTTACTATCATGGATTATTTCTGAAAGCATGCCACTTAAACTAATGTATTTTTCTCTCCACCTCCCTTAGCTTCTATAATAGAATAGGGGAGGTGAACCAGGATGAAATAAGGCACATTTTATCCAACTATAAGGAGGTAAGGGGAAGAAGATAGCATGGTAATATTGATGTTACAGATGGTGATATTGCAACTGGGTCCAGGGAGTAAAGGAACCTGTACCGTAATGCAAGTTGTTTGCGTTTCATTCCTATCTTGTTTGATAGCCAACAAAGCACACACATTTATTCACCCTCTTTCTTCTATTTGATTTTCCTATCCAGGAGAATGTGATTGGTTGGTATAAACAGCGGAGAAACACAGATCAACAAATGACCTTCAGAGAGCAAGTAGTCCATGAGAACCTGAAGAGCGCACTCTCCAATCACGAGCTGATCTTTCTGCTACTGACACCCAGTGAGATCACAACGACAGGCTCCACTCACAAACTGGAGTATGCAGTCTACAGATCACATGGCAGGTCAGTACATTCACATTTTAATGGCCTTCACACTGTTTTGAATCAAACTGTGAGTGTTTTGCCATGGGATAGTTAGTGATTGTACGTTTTAAGATTTGAACTCCGATCTGTTCAGTATGGCTTTACCCTCTGCTTAGCTTAGCTCAGCCCTTACTCAGCTCTAGCTTAAGCAGCTTTTATTTTTTATTCTACACTGAGTGTACAAAACATTTGGAACACCTTCCTAATATTGAGTTGGACCCCCTTTTGCCCTCAGAACAGCCTCAATTCGTCAGGGCATGGACTCTACGAGGTGTCAAGCGTTCCACAGGCATGCTGGCCCATGTTGACTCCAATGCTTCACATAGTTGTGTCAGGTTGGCTGTTTGCAGAATTTGGCTCATTATGTCAAAACTCAACACACAAGCCAATCAGACATAGCACTTGGAGATTAACAACTCACATATATGACAAAATGAAACACTGCAATCAAAACTTAACCCTCCTTTCTAAAAATAAAATTATTGCAACAAAACAAAACAACACACAAGCAACATTTGAATTACTCTTTCATATCACCAGCAACACACTGATGGGCTTTATATAAAACACTGCAGTCTTTGTGTTTCTATTTTTGTCATTTTATTGTCATTGTCTTCTGTAAAACTCAAAAGTAGAATTTCTGCAGTAATCAAACAGTATTTACAAAAAAGTTTTTACAAAAAAACAAACATTCTTACAGAAATTCTTAACATCAAATTTAGCAACAAAACAAAAGTAAAAAAACAAAACAATTACTGGATAAATTGCTATTGGGGGGAAAAAACATATACTTGTTTTGCTTGCGTGTGTGTGTGTGTGGTGGGGGGCGGGGGAGGGCTTATGGATCACGCCTTCTGTTCGGATCTGGCCACAAGACCTCGTCAACATCACAGGCGATGTCCTCGCGGGCTAGGCATCGGGGAAAATATCGCCTCGTGTGCCGAATCCACCCTTGGATTGATCCCACCTCAATGTCTCCACATGCCTCTTCCATTGCTTGCAGAAGAGTCATGCGGGCATGTGGTTGCCGATCATATACTTTCCACCGCCACACTGAAAATAATTCCTCGATTGCATTTAGAAAGGGGCAGGTATAAAACTGTGAAATGATTATGGTTGTTGAACCAATCTCGGACCAGAGCAGCCCGGTGGAAACTAACATTATCCCAGATGACAACAAACCTGGGCTGCTGTGGTCTGTCCTGCACAACTGCATGTAGTGCATCTAGAAATGCAATGATCTGTCCTGTATTGTAGGGACCTAGAGTGGCATGATGATGCAGGACTCCTTGGACACTAATTGCAGCACACAAGGTGACGCTGCCCAGGGACATTTACAACAGCCCTTTGTCCAACTACGTTACGGCCCCGACGCCTGGTTTTGGCCAGATTGAAGCCTGCCTCATCCACGTAGATGAACTCATGCGGCAGTTCGGCGGCATCAAACTCCAGAACTGTCTGTAACAGAAAATATTGAATAGTGTTACTGAAAACACATACAGTAACTACAATGTCTATATTTTCACACAAGTAGGGGCTGGGTTGGGTGAGTATAGACAAAAACTACAAGCTGTACAGGCAGGGCAGGTGGCAGCATAAACCCTCATTCCCACATCACAATACAGTGGGTAAAAAAAGTATTTAGTCAGCCACCAATTGTGCAAGTTCTCCCACTTAAAAAGATGAGAGAGGCCTGTAATTTTCATCATAGGTACACGTCAACTATGACAGACAAAATGAGTAAAAAAAATCCAGAAAATCACATTGTAGGATTTTTAATGAATTTATTTGCAAATGATGGTGGAAAATAAGTATTTGGTCAATAACAAAAGTTTCTCAATACTTTGTTATATACCCTTTGTTGGCATTGACACAGGTCAAATGTTTTCTGTAAGTCTTCACAAGGTTTTCACACACTGTTGCTGGTATTTTGGCCCATTCCTCCATGCAGATCTCCTATAGAGCAGTGATGTTTTGGGGCTGTCGCTGGGCAACACGGACTTTCAACTCCCTCCAAAGATTTTCTATGGGGTTGAGATCGGGAGACTGGCTAGGCCACTCCAGGACCTTGAAATGCTTCTTACGAAGCCACTCCTTCGTTGCCCGGGCGGTGTGTTTGGGATCATTGTCATGCTGAAAGACCCAGCCACGTTTCATCTTCAATGCCCTTGCTGATGGAAGGAGGTTTTCACTCAAAATCTCACGATACATGGCCCCATTCATTCTTTCCTTTACACGGATCAGTCGTCCTGGTCCCTTTGCAGAAAAACAGCCCCAAAGCTTGATGTTTCCACCCCCATGCTTCACAGTAGGTATGGTGTTCTTTGGATGCAACTCAGCATTCTTTGTCCTCCAAACACGACGAGTTGAATTTTTACGAAAAAGTTCTATTTTGGTTTCATCTGACCATATGACATTCTCCCAATCCTCTTCTGGATCATCCAAATGCACTCTAGCAAACTTCAGACGGGCCTGGACATGTACTGGCTTAAGCAGGGGGACACGTCTGGCACTGCAGGATTTGAGTCCCTGGCGGCGTAGTGTGTTACTGATGGTAGGCTTTGTTACTTTGGTCCCAGCTCTCTGCAGGTCATTCACTAGGTCCCCCCGTGTGGTTCTGAGATTTTTGCTCACCGTTCTTGTGATCATTTTGACCCCACGGGGTGAGATCTTGCGTGGAGCCCCAGATCGAGGGAGATTATCAGTGGTCTTGTATGTCTTCCATTTCCTAATAATTGCTCCCACAGTTGATTTCTTCAAACCAAGCTGCTTACCTATTGCAGATTCAGTCTTCCCAGCCTGGTGCAGGTCTACAATTTTGTCTCTGGTGTCCTTTGACAGCTCTTTGGTCTTGGCCATAGTGGAGTTTGGAGTGTGACTGTTTGAGGTTGTGGACAGGTGTCTTTTATACTGATAACAAGTTCAAACAGGTGCCATTAATACAGGTAACGAGTGGAGGACAGAGGAGCCTCTTAAATAAGAAGTTACAGGTCTGTGAGAGCCAGAAATCTTGCTTGTTTGTAGGTGACCAAATACTTATTTTCCACCATCATTTTCAAATAAATTCATTAAAAATCCTACAATGTGATTTTCTGGAAAAAAAATTCTCAATATGTCTGTCATAGTTGATGTGTACCTATGATGAAAATTACAGGCCTCTCTCATCTTTTTAAGTGGGAGAACTTGCACAATTGGTGGCTGACTAAATACTTTTTTTCCCCACTGTATATAGTATGTAAAGTAAAGTGACACATACCTGCACATAATCATGGCGCAGATCCTGACACTGTTCCTCTGAAATGGCACCCTGTACAGCTGCTTCATTCTGAAGTTATGTTTCTGTAGGATGCGACTTAGTGTAGAAATGCTGACCCTGTTGATATTGTTGAATTCATTTCCATTTGCAATTATGCGTTGTTGCAACTCACAAAGTCGGATTGCATTATTTTCTCGCACCATTTCAATGATGGCAAGCTCTTGTTGTTGAGTGAAGAGCCGTTCCCTTCCACCTTGAGGAGGTCGTCCAACCATTCTGTAGAAAATGCCACCACAAGATGTCATTGGTTAGGTTATTTTTCACATACTGTACTTTCAAACTGTACACAGTACTGCAACATCACAATGGTATTCCTTTACATATAAAGTACTTCACAGCACTACCCATTTTTGTATAGTTAGTACAGTAATACTGTAATATGATACAGAATCATGTGACACATACAGTAGGTACAGTCTGGAGTAGAAACTTGAAGATATACCTGTTCTCCAGTCGGAATGTGCTTATTATCGATGCTACTGTGTAGCGACTGAGGTTAGGGTGGACTCTTTGCCCAGCCTCCCTCATGGACAGGCCATGATTTATCACATGGTCCACCAGAGTAGCCCTGATGTCATCTGATATACGTCTCCACACTCGTCCTCTTCCACATCCGACTCCTCTCTCGCTTTGTCCTCCTCTTACTCTGACTCTCATTGCCTCCATGCTTGCAAGGTTCTAAAAATGGCTTACCTGAGGCCTATTTGTAGTGCTAAGGCTCAGACTGATTGGTGTTCTGTTTTCTGTGCAAGTGTTTTCAGGTGTGTATGTAAGTGCATACAATTGCCAGATGAGTTTAGCATTTTGAACAGAGTGTTTTCCCAATGATAACAGGTGATTTTGTTTTTGAACAAAGTGTCTAATGTAAGAAAACGTGTGTAGTGTTTCGCAATAAGTGTGTTACAGAATTGCAAGCAAAGTTGACATTGTGTTTAAGCTATGGTTACACTGTGTTTAAGGTATGCTACAAGAAGTTTAGGTATTGAGGCTTTGGTCTAAGCATTCGGTTTTAGTGTGTAAGCAATGGGCAAAATCTGTAATACACACAGGAAACTGTTGTGTGAAAAACCCAGCAGCGTTGCAGTTCTTGACACACTCAAACCGGTGCGCCTGGCACCTACTACCATACCCTGTTCAAAGGCACTTCAATCCTTTGTCTTGCCCATTCACCCTCTGAATGGCACACATACACAATCCATGTCTCAGTTGTCTCAAGGCTTAAAAATCCTTCTTTAACCAGTTTCCTCTCCTTCATCTACACTGATTTGAAGTGGATTTAACAAGTGACATCAATATGTAATGGAATCAGCGGGTATTCCTAATGTTTTGTACGCTGTAGTTTTATCCTTGTTTTGTTTTTACTGTCTTGCTGTACAGTCCTTGGATTTCTTAAAATGTGCTTTAAATCCCATGTATTATTATTAGTCAGTATTGCAGTGTTCCTGTCCTGGTCAGCAACCTGGGTTTGTTGGAAGAGCAGGACTACTGGAGACTCTCTGCATCTTGTTCATCAGTCAACTACAACCGCGCTGTTAGGAAACACAGGTACTACTACTGGGCCTCAGCACTGGGCACTATTGACTTTGAAAAATGTAATCTGTTTGTCTGGTACCTGTGTGACTAGTCTTACATTTTTGTATTTTGCCCTGTGTAGATCTAGATTCTTCTCCTCAGATGGATCTCTGCAGGAGGTGGATGAGATTAATGACATGAACAACTCCTTGCAGGGTGAACTGAAGGTAAGTTGAATCGATGGCAAGAGAAGTGTAAAAACGTGTACAAAAGACTATGTACAGTACAACCATTGGTAAACATCATGGCGTCACCTGGGTTTTCTGTTTATTTCTCTTCACAGACGGCATGTAAGAAAGTGGAAGAGAGTGAACGATTGGTCGAGAAGCTGCTTGCAGACGTATCTGCTCTAAGAAGGACGCTCAATGAGAGGAAACAAGAGCAGAGAGAAAGTATGACCTTTGTTTCTATTTATCAATCAGACTTGATTTATTCTTCTCGTGTGTATTAAGCATGTTTTATTTACTTTCGTGTTTCCAGTCTCAGCAGATGGAGCCTCCACCCCGGCTCAGCCCCAGGAGAATGTGCTGCTCTGCGAGGCCATCAAAACACTATTTCCTGGGGCATCTCTACTCCAAACACAGGCTCTAAACTTCCAGGGGTTTCCCTTGCCCGAGTTCTGCTGCAGCACTGACCATGGCATAGACATCGCCACAACACTGCCTTTGATCCTGAGTCATACACTCCCTAAAGCCAGGAAGGGGAGGCTTGGGAGAGTCGGAGGTACATCCTGGAGAAAACGTCCCGCTCGTGAATCATCTGAGGTGGCCAAGAGGAGGAAAGGCATGCTGGAGGAGACTGAGGGGTCTTTGTCAGTCAGTGGGTCAGAGACCGAGGAGGATTTGATCCCAGCCAATCAGAACTTAAATAATTTAGACGTGTCCAACTCCCCGGTCTTCTGAGGACCAAATGGACCACTCAAGAATGATTACTTTGCATTAAATGTCACTGTGTATGGATTATAGGAAATTCTGTGACATTCCCCTGTAACAGTCCTCTATCAATGACTGAAAACTTGATATGTTTGCAGGGACGCCTTCAATTAGCTTATTTTGGGGGCAAAAAAATTCATTTAGAAATAACTGTCCCAAGTCCTTGAGATTAAAATAACTTTAGTGTTTATCAATAATTGTTTATATTCAAGCTGTTATTGGACTTGTACATAATTACATTACATTATTTTCACGTGTAGTGAGTTACGATAATTGGTCTCATGGCTCAACCCAAGCATGGCAGCTCAAAGACTAGACTAACAAGCAATATTCCACATTAAGAATGATTTAAATACACAATGATTACAGTATCTATGCTACACTAGTTCCACAATACAGGCAGACAGTTATTCCAAGTGCCGGATGTCGAAGATGTTTGGATCTTTCATAAAATGTGGGTCCTTGTGGGTTACAGACATGAATCCTGTGGAGGAAAATAGTATTAGTATTTATTATACAAAGGCCTAGATGATCAAAACAAGGTCATTTTGAGCCATAGACAAGTCTGTAGTACACAATGTCAAATACCCTCTGGTCAGTAGTGATAAATGGTGCATTGACGTTTCCAAAGAGAAACTATCACAGAGCAACCTCAAGGCTTAATGCTGCTGACCCAAGAGTATTGGATCATATGATATTCTGTCCCAAGACCAGTCAATAATAAAATGAGCGATTTGATGACTTACCCATCGAATTAGCTTTCTTTATGGCTTTGGAAATCACCCTGTTTCTTACCACAGACCTGGAAAGGAATAAACACCTTGTTAATAGGACATGACCGCCTCTGATGTGATATGAACATGTTTAGCTTTTTTATCTGACCAAGTTCTCACCTGTTACGTGCCTGCCGTAAATTATTCCTGTGGGGGGGATATAAACTGGGCCAGCAGCTATTGGAAAGAAGTTTGGAGGAAAATTAAGCATATTATAAATAAACATTGCCCAATTGCATCTTTGCTAATCAGTACGGTAGTAAGTACTGTAGTCTAATGACAGACCTGAACATTCTTGAAGTACACTGTGATGTTACATAAAATGCAGCCGTTCTGTGGTTGTTCGTATGGATTCTCCATCCGTAATGTCTGGGGAGTTAAAAATTTACATAAAGTTATGTAAATCCATACAACAATGTAGTTGTCATAGACGTTGTAAACAAATGAGGCATAGCTTCAAATCCTGTTAAAAGAAGTAATAATGCTCGTCATGTGGAATGTCACTCCTTGAGCACTAAGAGTACATAAGAATCAAGTTCAATTTGTATTTTTAAATGTCATCCGGGATCTAATTAGTCCATCGATAATGTTTTTCTTTGTGCGCTCTTACTAGATTGGTAGTTTACTAGATTGGTAGCTAGCTAATAGTAACGTTACATATGCACATTCAATTGTTTACCATGTCATTTCTTCTGGACTAGATTAGACGAGCCTGGGATACTTCTGAGACATTGTTCTGCGATAAAAGTAAAGACATTACCTTACGTCCATTTTGAGGTTACTCTGGCCAGCTAGCTAGTTTATTAGCCAGCAGATCCGACCCGTTTGTTTAGCTACATAGGGTCGGACAGAATTCCTGTGTAGATTAAGCCATCGCTGAGCAGGCGAGAGATATGGCTCGGAAAATGTACCTCAATCCAGGGATGAGAAATGCGTTGTACTCCGAATTGTCTCATTATCAGCGCTGTTTCAGCGCTGGCTCTGTGGTTTCTTAAACTACACAGGAATGCTGTCTGAACCTAGTGCAGCTGTAAGTAAACGGGTCGGATGCTGAATAGTTAGTTTATATGACACATGATGTGGCTAGTTAGCTAATGGACGGCATAGCTACTTAGAGGTTAGCCATTTAGCTTATATTAGGTTATCTTAATGATTACAAACGTCAGTATAATTGTGATTTTATCCCTAGTAATGTGATTTATCCAAAACAATAAAACTGCATTCTTATGTGTGCCTCCAAGCTGTGAACATTTGAATGGCAAAGATCGAACGCTTCGGACAGCAAGCATTTCTGACCTGTGTGAAGAAAACAACAACGACGTGAGAGCTTGTGTTCAACTTTAAATAAATATAAATAAATAATATGCCATTTAGCAGACGCTTTTATCCAAAGCGACTTACAGTCATGCGTGCATACATTTTTGTGTATGGGTGGTCCCGGGGATCGAACCCACTACCTTGGCGTTACAAGCGCCGTGCTCTACCAGCTGAGCTACAGAGGACCACCCAAATGTTGCTGCCTGATCAGTAGTTCCTCCCAAAATCAATGGATTTTCAAAGTGATAGTTTGTTACATTTCCATATAACACATCTTAATAGTTCCATATAACAAATATAATGCATCTAAAATATTAAAATACGGTACTGCAAATATGAACTAATTGTATCAATATCATTAGGTCGGAATAAATACAGTCTCGTAAAAATTCCGTACTCCACCGGACTCCATTTGAAATTTGCCTACGATCTTTACTCGTCTCTGATTGGCTAATCCGTTAAATAAACTAATGTTTACTAGTAAAACATTGGATAAATCTGAACGGATCCAACTCTAACGTCACCCAATTGAAATTGACATTTATAACAGTTAAGGGTTTAGGGTAGGATAGGATAGGATAGGATTGGATTGGATTTAGGGTTACTCTCTGCCCACCAGTGGGTTAAGGGTAGGGTTAAGATTAGGGTTTAAAATTAGGGTTTAGGGCATGGACGCCCCAAGGATACCGGGTAGCACTAACGGTTTAAAATAGCATTCTCTGCACCGTAGCCAGTTAGCTAATCTTAAAAGTTTATCCTCTATTTATACAGTACTTTTTTTAGTCGTTTGGTAGTAAGCCAAGCTTTAACCATGTCTAACGTTAGTTAAATTAGCTAGACGTAGAGTTTTCTGGCTAACATTTCGTTAGCTAACGTTAGTTAAAACAATTTAAAGCTAGTTTGCCTTGTGTATTTGATGCAATCAATTATATTGTACAGTAGTATCAAATTAGTTGACTAATTTACCAAGTAATTGGGGAGCTCAACCTGTCAGCCAACATTATTGTATTGAATGTACTTACTTAGCTAGCATGCCAACATGGCTGGTATGCTTAGGCTAGGTGTCAGACAGTCAGGTTTGACTATGAGTGCCGAAATCAAAGTAAAACGAGTGTCCTCGAGGAAGAGGTCCAGAGATGGGCTCAGAAGTCATCTCACGCCCGTAAGGAAAATACCCAGTTCTTCTGGACAACAATGTCCTGACAGCAGCACAGCTGAAATGGAGCATCCCAGGGCTATGGACCAATCTATGCATGCAAAGTTCAGTGAGGTGGGTAGCTAACTAACACCACAATGTTTGTGGTCTGATCATATATTGTCTAGTAGTGCGTTACACATGTATTAACTGTTTTAAATGTATTTTGCAGTACTGCAGTGACACTGAGGATTTATTTGGGGACTATGACAGCATTGTAGGCGACAGCTCTTTCCTGGCCAAGCTGGATAGAGAGGAGCAGAACATGAGACGTCATGACATTGACCATGCAACCAGCAACCGATGCCCTGTGGTTCTGCAGCATGAAAACCCTGACTTCACCTCACTGAAGTCTTCAACTGACAAGTGTCTGAAAAAATCACGAGATTACTCAATGACAGACTCAAACCTGGAGGGCTTCAGTGATTACTTTTTCAGAGACATGCCAAGCTCACAGCTCGCCTTTCAACAGGACGCTCTCCAAACAGCAGAGTGGATCTGCTGTCCAGATGGGGACAAAACGTCCAAGCCTATGAGACGTCCTGAGTCTGTCAGCACTGAAGATGGAAATGAGAGGCACAATGCAGGTGTGGTCCCCAAGGCAAGGAAGAGCATGTCAGATCATCTGAAGAGAGCCATGCTGGTTAATGCAGCAGCTCCTTCTAGTGTCTCACGGACTGCAGTGCAGAAGGAGGCCGTAGTTACAGAGATCAGTGTTGCCATGCAGGCTATGGAATCTGTCTCCATGGAGACAATGGACCTTGAGCCTTTCTTCGGTCTTCCCACCAAAGTGAAGGCGCTGATATGTAATCTCAAAGGAATCAAAGATTTATATGGTGAATAGCTTTCTACCCCTTTTCCCTGTCTAATGCATGTCCTCACTATAGTTCTGCGTCAACTTTACCATGTCTATGTTTTAAAAGTGTGTGGTTGTCTTGAATAATTGGATCTCTTGCCCTGCTTCATATTACAGAGGAGCATTATCAATGCTCTCTTCTATTTCAGAATGGCAGAAGAACTGTCTAAACCTGGACTCAGTTCAGCAGAGGAAAAACCTCATCTACTCTCTGCCCACCAGTGGTGGGAAGACTCTGGTGGCTGAGATTCTCATCCTCAAAGAGCTTCTGTGCAGAGAGAGGGATGCCCTTTTCATCCTACCCTACATATCTCTAGTGCAGGAGAAGGTATTGTGGTCATTATATTACGTTTACAAAATGTCTATAATTCCCCTTTCATCCAACTACACAGACATTTTTGTATTCAAGGCCACATTTGGGTTAGGAAATTGTCACAAAACTCATGTCAATGGCAAATCTGAGCACTGTATTGCATGCATTTCAAGGTTCGAGGGTTGGCCAGTTTTGGCCTGGAGCTGGACTTCATGGTGGAGGAGTATGCTGGCAATAAGGGCAGGTTCCCTCCAGTGAAGAGAAGGGGCAAGAGGTCCCTGTACATTGCCACCATAGAGAAGGCCCACAGCCTGGTCAACTCCCTCATAGAGGCCAACAGACTGGACAATGTGGGGCTGGTGGTTGTGGACGAGGTATGCAAATATCTTATTATGTAAACATCTAAGACATTATCATTGGCAAATATAGAATAGCCACTCACTAAACACAAAAAATTAATCCTCTGATGCTCTGATTGTGTATTTGATGCAATCAATTATACTGTACAGTAGTATCAAATGTTTCCTCGATCTCTGTTTTTATTAGCTCCACATGTTGGGTGATGGTAGCAGAGGAGCTATCATTGAGATGACTCTAGCCAAGGTGCTCTATATCAGTAGTAAGTGTGACTGCTATTCTTACACTCATCATGTTCATGGAGATTGGAGATCTTTTGAAAAATTTATTTTCTTTACACAGAGTCAACTCAGATCATTGGAATGAGTGCTACTCTGGGCAATGTCCAAGATCTTCAGAGGTTTCTGAGCGCAGATAACTACACTAATGACTTCAGACCGGTATGTAATTTCCTAACCATAGGCTTGATATACGCAATGCTATGTTGTATGTGGACTCTCACAAACAAGAAGTAGGCATATCACAGAGGATCAAATGTTACCACAGAGGATCAAATGTTGATCCTCTGTGGTATGCCTACTTCTTGTTTGTGAGAGTCCACATACAACATGTAAATCACCAACATATTCTTTGAAACCTTAGTTAAAACGTATACAAGTTAGACTGCGGGTTGTGCACTCCTTTGTCTCTGTGATTGTAGGCCACTGATAGCCATGGTGTTTCTGTTCCAGGTCGAGCTGAAGGAGTATGTTAAACTGAAGGACAGCATATACGAGGTGGACCCCAAGGAGGAGGAGTGCTTCAGGTTCTCTCGGCTCCTAAACTTTAAGGTATATTCATTTTATTTTGAAGAGCCATCATATTTTATATTTAAGTAACAAGGCCCGAGGGGGGTGTGGTGTATGGCCAATATGCTGTTCTTAAGAACGACACAACGCTGAGTGCCTGGATACAGCCTTTAGCCGTGGTATATTGGTAATATACCACAAACACAGAGGTGCCTTATTGCTATTATAAACTGGTTACCAACTTAATTAGAGCAGTAAAAATAAATGTTTTGTCATATCCGTGGTATATGGTCTGATATCCCACGGCTTTCAGCCAATCAGCATTCAGGGCTCTAACCACCCATTTTATAATTAAATATATACTAGGCTCCAGTACCAGGCAGTCGGCTGTTGAAGCCTGACACACATTGTATTTGAAGTCTTAACACCTGACTAATCCTTCTGTTTTCCAGTACTCCAGTGCAATGCAGAAGATCGATCAGGATCATATTGTTGCCTTGGTGACTGAGGTCATTCCAAGCCAGTCGTGCCTTGTCTTCTGTCCCACCAAGAAGAATTGTGAGAACGTGGCTGGGATGATCTGCAAATACCTGAAACAGTAAGAGGACATATCTTTGTATTCCTCCTCTCTGTATTCCAAATCATGGTAAGCCTGTACAGTGGCTGTGATTGTGTGGCTTGTGATTGATCCAACATGCCACTTCTTCTTGAATTCTCCAGGGACTTTATCCAGCACAAGCAGGCAGAGAAGGCTGTGTTGTTGGGGGATCTGAGGAGCAGTGGGAACGGCTCCCTGTGTCCGGTGCTCAAGAAGATGGTGCCGTACGGCCTGGCCTACCACCACAGTGGGTTGACCAGCGAGGAGAGGAAGCTGGTGGAAGAGGCTTACTCTGCTGGGGTTCTGTGTCTCCTCACCTGCACCTCCACGCTGGCTGCAGGGATCAACCTACCTGCTCGGAGGTAAGCGAAAGCAAATAAGCGTAACCTGTCTCAGACTACTTTACTGCTACTAAGGCTACTAGGAACAGCTGTTCTCACATGAGACATGTTATAACATAAGTTGCATCTCTGTATTAGATAATGACAGTTCTTATAGACGTAATTGGATCCATCATTGTGTGTTTGAACCAGGGTGATTCTGCGTTCTCCGTACATGGCGGTAGACTTCCTGAAGAGGAGCCAGTACAAGCAGATGGTGGGGAGGGCTGGACGGGCTGGGATAGACACTCATGGAGAGAGCATCCTCATCCTACAGGACAAAGACAAAGTCATGGTAAAGAGCAACAACAGTAAACCTGTGCATGTAGTACTATGTAATGACATCAGGTCCTTATGTTTGCACGTTCTGACATTTTATAGCAGACTCATCTAATGCATTGGTCCTGTCCACCTTTTTGTATTTTCAGGTCAAAAAGCTTGTGTCTGCACCAATAGAGATCTGTAAAAGCAACCTAATGCATGATAACGGAAAGGGTATCCTGAGTCTCATCCTATCCATCATTGGATTAAATGTGAGCACTTCTGAAGAATATCCATAAGTGAATTCCAGAAAAATCCAGTTTCCTTTTTTGATGGATATTTTTAGAAAATAACTTGGTCTTAATGAATGATTTGATGATATGGTTTTTATGTTTCTTTTCTTTGTCTCCCTTCAGATCACGAACAGTTTAGAGCAGGTCAGGGACTTCATGGATGGCACATTGCTGTCTGTCCAGGAGAAACAGGTGTGCTTGGAGAGGAGCCTGTGGGAGGTGACACAGGAGTGTGTTGAGCTGTTGAAAGTGAAAGGCCTCATCACTGTGTCCACAGAGCCACATGATGGGACTCTGCATGTCACCAAGCTAGGAAGAGCTACTTACAAAGGTGAACTACTCTCAAACACTCCAGAGCAGGTGTTAATTCCATTTCTATTCCCATAGGACATTGCTAGCTAGCTAGCTGCGCTAATGTTGCTATTTTGTAGAAAGCCCTTGTTGATACTAGCCAGATTGCCACAGCAATGTCAATACTAGCTACAGTGGTTAGCTAGCTTGGAGGAAGTATTTAGTGCTGCGTGCATTGCATCTGTGCATTTAGCTAGCTACCATCCCATAGCCTACATTGCATATGAAGTGTGACTGGCTCATCCATGGATGTATGGAGAAAATGCCCTCTTTTTTTTCCTTTTTGTTGTCACTCCTATTGGCTCCCCCACGTGGGGGTTCGTGCTCTCGTATTGGCTCAAAGTCAAGTTGTTGGCCATTGACGAGCATTGCGATTCTACAAGTAGAAACGGTATGTTCGTCACTACCTGGTCGGCACGTAGCAGGTACCGCTTTTGTTTTAGCAAGAGAAGGAATGGCCTCCCACTGTGATAAGTATCTATCAGCAGTGAGATTCTCAGTGTGTTTCATGCTTAGGAATCCATTTAAATCCTGTTACAGAGACATGTTTTTTCTATGAATCAATCCTACACTCTTAAGTGTATCTGCCCTCTCCTCGCCAGGCTCAGTGGATCTGACCTACTGTGACGTCCTGTATAGAGACCTGTCTAAAGGCCTGGAGAGTCTGATGCTGGATAGTTTCCTCCACCTGGTCTACCTGGTAACACCCTATGACATGGTCTCCCAGTGCAAGCCTGATTGGATGATCTACTTCAGACAGGTTAGAGCCCTTACATTGCATTCGGAAAGTATTCATACCCCTTGACTTTTTCCACATTGTGTTACGTTACAGCCTTATTCTAAAATGGATGACATTGTTTTTCCCCCTCTTCAATCTACACACAATAACCCATAATGACAACGCAAAAACAGGTTTTTAGAAATTTTAGCAAAGTAAAAAAAATTACAAAGCTGAAATAACACATTTACATAAGTATTCAGACCCTTTACTCAGTACTTTGTTGAAGCACCTTTGGCAGCGATTACAGCCTCGAGTCTTCTTGGGTATGACGCTACATGCTTGGCACACCCGTATTTGGGGAGTTTCTCCTATTCTTCTCTGAAGATCCTCTCAAGCTCTGTCAGGTTGGATGGGGAGCGTCGCTACACAGCTAATTTCAGGTATCTCCAGAGATGTTTGATCGGGTTCATCTCCGGGCTCTGGCTGGGCCCCTCAAGGACATTCAGAGACTTGGCCCGAAGCCACTCCTGCGTTGTCTAGGCTGTGTGCTTAGGGTTGTTGTCCTGTTGGAAGGTGAACCTTTGCCCCAGTCTGAGGTCCTGAGCACTCTGGAGCAGGTTTTCATCAAGAATCTCTCTGTACTTTGCTCCGTTCATCTTTCCCTCGAACCTGACTAGTCTCCCAGTCCCTGCCGCTGAAAAACATCCCCACAGCATGATGCTGCCACCACCATGCTTCACCGTGGGGATGGTGCCAGGTTTCCTCCAGACGTGACACTTGGCATTCAGGCCAAAGAGTTCAATCTTCGTTTCATCAGTCCAGAGAATCTTGTTTCTCATGGCCTGAGAATCTTGTTTCTCATGGTCTGAGAGTCTTTAGGTGCCTTTTGGCAAACTCAAAGCGGGCTGTCATGTGCCTTTTACTGAGGAGTGGCTTCCGTCTGGCCATTCTACCATAAAGGCCTGATTGGTGGAATACTGCATAGATGGTTGTCTTTCTGGAAGATTCTCCCATCTCCACAGAGGAACTCTGGAGCTCCTTCAGAGTAACCATTGGGTTCTTGGTCACCTCCCTGACCAAGGCCTTTCTCCCCCGATTGCTCAGTTTGGCGGCCAGCTCTAGAAAGAGTCTTGGTGGTTCCAAACTTCTTCCATTGAAGAATGATGGAGGCCACTGTGTTCTTGGGGACCTTCAATGCTGCAGAAATTTTTTGGTGATCTTCCCAAGATCTGTGCCTCGAAAACAATCCTGTCTCGGTGCTCTACGGACAATTTCTTCGACCTCTGCTTGGTTTTTGCTCTGACATGCACTGTCAACTGTGGGACCTTGTATAGACAGGTGTGTGCCTTTCCAAATCATGTCCAATCAATTGAATTTACCACAGGTGGACTCCAATCAAGTTGTAGAAACATCTCAAGGATGATCAATTGAAACAGGATGTACCTGAGCTCAATTTTGAGTCTCTTAGCAAAGGGTCTGAATACTTACAGTGAGGGAAAAAAGTATTTGATCTCCTGCTGATTTTGTATGTTTGCCCTCTGACAAAGAAATGATCAGTCTATAATTTTAATGGTAGGTTTATTTGAACAGTGAGAGACAGAATAACAACAACAAAATCCAGAAAAATGCATGTCAAAAATTTTATAAATTGATTTGGATTTTAATGAGGGAAATAAGTATTTGACCCCCTCTCAATCAGAAAGATTTCTGGCTCCCAGGTGTCTTTTATACAGGTAACGAGCTGAGATTAGGAGCACACTCTCTTAAAGGAAGTGCTCCTAATCTCATCTTGTTACCTGTATAAAAGACACCTGTCCACAGAAGCAATCAATCAATCAGATTCCAAACTCTCCACCATGGCCAAGACCAAAGAGCTCTCCAAGGATGTCAGGGACAAGATTGTAGACTTACACAAGGCTGGAATGGGCTACAAGACCATCGCCAAGCAGCTTGGTGAGAAGGTGACAACAGTTGGTGCGATTATTCGCAAATGGAAGAAACACAAAATAACTGTCAATCTCCCTCGGCCTGGGGCTCCATGCAAGATCTCACCTCGTGGAGTTGCAATGATCATGAGAACGGTGAGGAATCAGCCCAGAACTACACGGGAGGATCTTGTCAATGATCTCAAGGCAGCTGGGACCATAGTCACCAAGAAAACAATTGGTACCACACTACGCCGTGAAGGACTGAAATCCTGCAGCGCCCGCAAGGTCTCCCTGCTCAAGAAAGCACATATACAGGCCCATCTGAAGTTTGCCAATGAACATCTGAATGATTCAGAGGAGAACTGGGTGAAAGTGTTGTAGTCAGATGAGACCAAAATCGAGCTTTTTGGCATCAACTCAACTCGCCGTGTTTGGAGGAGGAGGAATGCTGCCTATGACCCCAAGAACACCATCCCCACCGTCAAACATGGAGGTGGAAACATTATGCTTTGGGGGTGTTTTTCTGCTAAGGGGACAGGACAACTTCACCGCATCAAAGGGACGATGGACGGGGCCATGTACCGTCAAATCTTGGGTGAGAACCTCCTTCCCTCAGCCAGGGCATTGAAAATGGGTCGTGGATGGGTACTCCAGCATGACAATGACCCAAAACACACGGCCAAGGCAACAAAGGAGTGGCTCAAGAAGAAGAACATTAAGGTCCTGGAGTGGCCTAGCCAGTCTCCAGACCTTAATCACATGGAAAATATGTGGAGGGAGCTGAAGGTTCGAGTTGCCAAACGTCAGGCTCGAATCCTTAATGACTTGGAGAAGATCTGCAAAGAGGAGTGGGACAAAATCGCTCCTGAGATTTGTGCAAACCTGGTGGCCAACTACAAGAAACGTCTGACCTCTGTGATTGCCAACAAGAGTTTTGCAACCAAGTACTAAGTCATGTTTTGCAGAGGGGTCAAATACTTATTTCCCTCATTAAAATACAAATCAATTTATAACATTTTTGACATGTGTTTTCCTGGATTTTTTTGTTGTTATTCTGTCTCTCACTGTTCAAATAAACCTACCATTAAAATTATAGACTGTATTTGTCAGTGGGAAAACTTACAAAATCAGCAGGGGATCAAATACTTTTTTCCCTCACTGTATGTAAATAAGGTATTTCTGTTTTTTATTTTTTATACATTTGCAAACATTTCTTAAACCTGTTTTCGCTTTGTCATTATATGGTATTGTGTGTAGATTGAGGAGGAACACTATTTATTTAATCAATTTTAGAATAAGGTTGTAACGTAAAAAAAAGTGGAAAAAGTAAAGGGGTCTGAATACTTTTACGAATGCACTGTATATGCTTCTTAATTATTAAATGTTTTTGTTGTTGTTGTGCTTTTTGGTTTTCTACATTAAACGTAGATTGGTAGGTAAAATACCTCAATCTTTTTAGTTTTTATGCATTTTGGGTGTGTTTATGGCTATCTATTAAATCATGAAATGCATGTATTTTGTTTTGTGTAAGAGTTTGTCTCTTCTGTAGTATTTAGTAGGCTCTTTACGATACCAGTATCTCGAAACTACGATACCGGATTTTCCATCGCAAAGGAAAACACAAAGCAGACTAAACTCGTTGGTTTAAAAACCTTCTGTACAGTGGGGAAAAAAAGTATTTAGTCAGCCACCAATTGTGCAAGTTCTCTCACTTAAAAAGATGAGAGAGGCCTGTAATTTTCATCATAGGTACACGTCAACTATGACAGACAAATTGAGGGAAAAAAATCCAGAAAATCACATTGTAGGATTTTTTATGAATTTATTTGCAAATTATGGTGGAAAATAAGTATTTGGTCACCTACAAATAAGCAAGATTTCTGGCTCTCACAGACCTGTAACTTCTTCTTTAAGAGGCTCCTCTGTCCTACACTCGTTACCTGTATTGATGGCACCTGTTTGAACTTGTTATCAGTATAAAAGACACCTGTCCACAACCTCAAACAGTCACACTCCAAACTCCACTATGGCCAGGACCAAAGAGCTGTCAAAGGACACCAGAAACAAAATTGTAGACCTGCACCAGGCTGGGAAGACTGAATCTGCAATAGGTAAGCAGCTTGGTTTGAAGAAATCAACTGTGGGAGCAATTATTAGGAAATGGAAGACATACAAGACCACTGATAATCTCCCTCGATCTGGGGCTCCACGCAAGATCTCACCCCGTGGGGTCAAAATGATCACAAGAACGGTGAGCAAAAATCCCAGAACCACACGGGGGGACCTAGTGAATGACCTGCAGAGAGCTGGGACCAAAGTAACAAAGCCTACCATAAGTAACACACTACGCCGCCAGGGACTCAAATCCTGCAGTGCCAGACGTGTCCCCCTGCTTAAGCCAGTACATGTCCAGGCCCGTCTGAAGTTTGCTAGAGTGCATTTGGATGATCCAGAAGAGGATTGGGAGAATGCCATATGGTCAGATGAAACCAAAATAAATGCTGAGTTGCATCCAAAGAACACCATACCTACTGTGAAGCATGGGGGTGGAAACATCATGCTTTGGGGCTGTTTTTCTGCAAAGGGACCAGGACGACTGATCCGTGTAAAGGAAAGAATGAATGGGGCCATGTATCGTGAGATTTTGAGTGAAAACCTCCTTCCATCAGCAAGGTCATTGAAGATGAAACGTGGCTGGGTCTTTCAGCATGACAATGATCCCAAACACACCGACCGGGCAACAAAGGAGTGGCTTCGTAAGAAGCATTTCAAGGTCCTGGAGTGGCCTAGCCAGTCTCCAGATCTCAACCCCATAGAAAATATTTGGAGGGAGTTGAAAGTCCGTGTTGCCCAGCGACAGCCCCAAAACATCACTGCTCCAGAGGAGATCTGCATGGAGGAATGGGCCAAAATACCAGCAACAGTGTGTGAAAACCTTGTGAAGACGTACAGAAAACTTTGACCTGTGTCATTGCCAACAAAGGGTATATAACAAAGTATTGAGAAACTTTTGTTATTGACCAAATACTTATTTTCCACCATAATTTGCAAATAAATTCATTAAAAATCCTACAATGTGATTTCCTGGATTTTTCTTCCTCAATTTGTCTGTCATAGTTGACGTGTACCTATGATGAAAATTACAGGCCTCTCTCATCTTTTTAAGTGGGAGAACTTGCACAATTGGTGGGCACTAAATACTTTTTTTCCCCACTGTATGTAAAATATTGTGTGCTATAGCTTGGAAAATAAACATTTGATTCTGGGTGATAACATAAGGCTGCTTGTTTCCAACATTAGGACTGTTTTCCTCCGGAAATTCGGTCCGCTTCATGTTTTGTTTCCTTGCCACGATACCACTGAATATCTGGTATCGTGACAACCCTAGTATTTAGTACAACAATTATTGTGTAAAATAGTTTTTTTGCTCATCAATTCCAGTTCACAATGTTGTCAGCTGCGGAGCAAAAGATGTGTGCAGCAGTTGGAGTGTCTGAGAGTTTCGTTGCTAGAAAGGCTGCGGGCCAGAATGTGAAGAAGGTAAGAATATTCAATATCTTAAATACTGTTATAACAATAGTGTAATATTTTCACATTTCCCTAGGTTGAGAGATTATCATTGGCTTTAAAGATGCGCTATGCAGAAATCGCTCTGCCATTTCCTGGTTGCTAAAATTCGAATAGTTTGCCTAATTTCAGTTAGTGACAAAACAAGCAAGTATAGTGTAGAGAATCATTGTACCATCTAAACCGCTGTGAAATAACTTATCCATAACAAAAATTTTTGTATTTTCTTTGTAATTTCAGCTGTTTTAAATTAAAAACGAAACTTAAGAATGGGAAGCATAGAAATAGCGCACATTGAACAGATCTACCACTTCTTAGACTTGCTTTCAATGAGAATGACAGATGTTTACCACACATTTCTATGTCAATTTGGTTGGGTCGCCCAAAAAGTTACATATTGCAGCTTTAAATCCCTGTCGTTTTTAAGGGGCCTTATACTTGAATAGGTTGTCTTAAAACCATTATTTAGTTCATCTTTAGATTAATCCTCTTGTGTTTCTGTCGATTTCCCCCCCCACTGTATCCCCTAGATGAGATAATAGAAGATAATGAACCGTAAATCTCTTGTGATGGGAATTCAAATCTGCTCTCAACTGTGATCATTGATATAATACTGTAATGAGCCAAACAGTCAATGAGCCATTCTTTTGTACTATGATGTCCTTCCTACAGTAGGAGGAATAATTATATTTCTATGGTCCTTTCACTATGCTCTCTTCCCCAGAATGTGGACCCGGTGGTGGTGAGCCGGCTATACCTGGCCCTGGTGCTGCTGTCAGCGCTGAAGGAGACTGACCTGTGGAGCGTGGCCGACAGGTTCCTGCTCAGCCGGGGCTTCATCCAGACACTGCTCAGCTCCTCCTCAGCCTTCTGCTCCTGCGTGCTGCACTTCACAGAGGTAGCTACCAGTATAGAGGCACACTGAGTGTACAAAACATTAAGAACACCTGCTCTTTCCATGACAGACTGACCAGGTGAATCCAGGTGAAAGCTATGATCCCTTATAGATGTCACTTGTTAAATCCACTTCAATCAGTGTCGATGAAGGGGAGGAGACAGATTAAAGAAGGATTTATTTTTAAGCCTAGAGACAATAGAGATATGGATTGTGTATGTGTGCCATTGAGGGTGGGGGGGCGGCAGCAACTCAATATTAGTAAGGTGTTCCTAATCAAATCAAATTGTATTTCTCACATGCGCCGAATACAACAGGTGTAGACCTTACCGTGAAATGCTTACTTACAAGCCCTTAACCAACAATGCAGTTTTAAGAAAAATAAGAGTTAAGAAAATATTTACTAAATAAAATAAAGTAAAATAAAGTAACACAATAAAATAACAATAACTAGACTATATATACAGGGGGTACCGGTACCGAGTCAATGTCCGGGGGTATAGGTTAGTCGAGGTAATTGAGGTGATATGTACATGTAGGTATGGGTAAAGTGACTGCATAGATAATAAACAGTGAGTAGCAGCAGTGTTTAAAAAGGGGGGAGGGGGGATGCAAATAGTCCGGGTAGCCATTTGATTAGCTGTTCAGCAGTCTTATGGCTTGGGGGTAGAAGCTGTTAAGGAGGCTTTTGGACCTAGACTTGGCACTCCGGTACTGCTTGCCGTGTGGTAGCAGAGGGAACAGTCTATGACTAGGGTGGCTGGAGTCTTTGTCAATTTTTAGGGCCTTCCTCTGACAACGTCTGGTATAGAGGTCCTGGATGGCAGGAAGCTTGGCTTGTGGTTGGATGCCAAGCAGTTGTCATACTGGGCCGTACGCACTACACTCTGTAGTGCCTTGCAGTCGGATGCCAAGCAGCTGCCATACCAGGCGGTGATGCAACCAGTCAGGAGGCTCTCGATGGTGCAGCTGTATAACCATTTGAGAATCTGAGGACCCATGCCAAATCTTTTCAGTCTCCTGAGGGAGAATAGGCGTTGTTGTGCCCTCTTCACGACTGTCTTGGTGTTTTTGGACCATGATAGTTTGTTGGTGATGTAGACACCAAGGAACTTGAAGATTTGCTCCACTACAGCCCCGTTGATGAGAATGGGTGCGTGCTTGTAAATAAGTTACAAACAACACGAAAAAAGGAGCCCGTAAAACGGCAGCCATCCCCTCCGGCACCATTCTGATGTTTGGTTTACTCAGTGAATATGATGTCATTGGGTACCAGGCCAGCTAAATATAACTGTATCTTTGTCCCTCATGTCAGTGTTTCATGAAAATGGTTCCATGTCCTATGCTTGATTATCATAAGAACATTGAGATTTCATCTAAGTGTAACGGCTTGGGGTTACTGCAAACACTTCTCAGTACTAAGAATAGCTCTTAAGTTTTGTCTGTTCTATGCCTTCCATTTTGACCCCACTGATCTTACTGTGTCCTCTCTCTCTCTTATCAGGAGCTGGAGGAGTTCTGGCCCTTCAACGCTCTCCTGACTGAGCTGACCCGCAGGCTGACCTACTGTGTCAAGGCCGAGCTCATCCCTCTCATGGAGGTAGCAGGAGTCATGGAGGTCAGACTTAAAAAAAAATCTCTATTCATTTTGTTGGCATTATAGCATCCTTAAAATGGTGACAATGTCCTACTTACATGTCAACAAAAGGCCAAAAAAACATATCCACATCTTGGTATCCAGTTATAAGAGCGATTATCTTAGCCAAGGTATTCAGGCATTGTTCCAGATGTTTTTTTGCATGCTGTAACCTTTATCTGCTTTTGACAGGGAAGAGCGAAGCAGCTGTACAATGCTGGATATAAGACACTGGCTCATCTGGCCAACGCTGACCCAAACGTTCTTGTCAAGACTGTGGAGAACCTCTTCAAGAAGCAAGCCAATCAGATTGTTGCTTCTGCAAAAGTACGACTGTTGTCAAATGCTTAGTATACGCACAATTGTTTACATCCTAAATCCATATAAAGTAAATAAAACATTGAATATCGTAGAAAATGGGATTGTGATGCGACATGACGAGCATTTACTCTGTTTCAGATGCTGCTGAATGAGAAAGCTGATGCACTTCAGGAGGAGGTGGATGACTTGTTGATGATGCCTCTTGATCCCCCCTCTTTGTAAATATGTTGCTGGGGTGGATTTATTTAGTAAAGATTACTTTTATATGGCCTGGTGTGTTAATATTGTTTATGGTGGTGTATCATATTGTTTATAGTTTATGGGAGTGCTATTAAAACAATGTGTATCTCTATATTTTTTGTGATAATGTGGAAGATTTCTTCAAAATAGAGTAATAATTCCATCCCATAGAAATGAATAAAACGCTCATGTGCATCAAAACCATGAAAGAATTCAAGCTCAGTGCTCAATGATCACACGTGATGGGATGGGAAATATTACATTCTATCACGGCATTGCCATAATTTATCGACAGGCTCACACGTGCTTGACCCAAGATCAGTGAGTAGTCGGACATAGAGGGAGTTCTACTAGTGCTAGTTTTCATTGGGAAGGAAGATAAAGGCTTTTAATCAAAAGCAATCACTTTTTCATGTGAACACAGAATCCTACTCATTACTCCACGTGCTTAACTTTTAATTCACTTTTGACGGGGCACCACGCCCGGGAAGCAGCCTGCTTCCAAAACGAATGCAATCAGAGTTAACCCGCTTCACTAAAAGTTCCCCCTTATAGTAAAGTAGGTAGCATACGTAGGCCTACAGTGTATTGAGACCACCCCCTACTTACTTGCACGTTCCGATGATATGCACATGTGTTGATTAACTTTGCCTAGTGTTAAGTAACTTTGCCTGAGACCAGCTAAATTTCAATGCACAGAGCGCGTGACATGGCTAGGTTAAGTCACTGCGTGGTTGTGTTTTTTCTCTCCTGTTTCACGCCTCAAATAATCAATATTTGCATACAGTCGTGGTCAAAAGTTTTGAGAATGACACAAGTATTGGTCTTCACAAAGTTCGCTGCTTCAGTGTTATGAGATATTTTCAGATGTTACTATGGTATACTGAAGTATAATTACAAGCATTCCAAAGAGTCAATATTTGCAGTGTTGAACCATCTTTTTCAAGACCTCTGCAATCCGCCATGGCATGCTGTCAATTAACTTCTGAGCGACATCCTGACTGATGGCAGCCCATTCTTGCATAATCAATGCTTGGAGTTTGTCAGAATTTGTGGGTTTTTGTTTGTCCACCCGCCTCTTGAGGATCGACCACAAGTTCTCAATGGGATTAAGGTCTGGGGAGTTTCCTGGCCATGGACCCAAAATTTCGATGTTTTGTTCCCCGAGCCACTTAGTTATCACTTTTGCCTTATGGCAAGGTGCTCCATCATGCTGGAAAAGGCATTGGTCGTCACCAAACTGTTCTTGGATGGTTGGGAGAAGTTGCTCTCGGAGGATGTGTTGGTACCATTCTTTATTCATGGCTGTGTTCTTAGGCAAAACTGTGAGTGAGCCTACTCCCTTGGCTGAGAAGCAACCCCACACATGAATGGTCTCAGGATGCTTTACTGTTGGCATGACACAGGACTAATGGTAGCGCTCACCTTGTCTTCTCCGGACAAGGTGTTTTACGGATGCCCCAAACAATCGGAAAGGGGATTCATCAGAGAAAATGACTGTACCCCAGTCCTCAGCAGTCCAATCCCTGTACCTTTTGCAGAATATCAGTCTGTCCCTGATGTTTTTCCTGGAGATAAGTGGCTTCTTTGCTGCCCTTCTTGACACCAGGTCATCCTCCAAAAGTCTTCGCCTCACTGTGCGTGCAGATGCACTCTCACCTGCCTTCTGCCATTCCTGAGCAAGCTCTGCACTGGTGGTGCCCCGATCCTGCAGCTGAATCAACTTTAGGAGACGGTCCTGGCGCTTGCTGGACTTTCTTGGGCGCCCTGACGCCGCCTTCACAACAATTGAACATCTCTCCTTGAAGTTCTTGATGATCCGATAAATGGTTGATTTAGGTTAAATCTTACTAGCAGCAATATCCTTGCCTGTGAAGCCCTTTTTGTGCAAAGCAATAATAATAATAATAATAATAATAATAATAATATGCCATTTAGCAGACGCTTTTATCCAAAGCGACTTACAGTCATGCGTGCATACATTTTTGTGTATGGGTGGTCCCGGGGATCGAACCCACTACCTTGGCGTTACAAGCGCCGTGCTCTACCAGCTGAGCTACAGAGGACCACGCAATGATGACGGCACGTGTTTCCTTGCAGGTAACCATGGTTAACAGAGGAAGAACAATGATTTCAAGCACCACCCTCCTTTCAAAGCTTCCAGTCTGTTATTCTAACTCAATCAGCATGACAGAGTGATCTCCAGCCTTGTCCTCGTCAACACTCACCTGTGTTAACGAGAGAATCACTGACATTTTCATGGCAAAGAGGGTTCATTTTCATGGCAAAGAGGGACTTTGCAATTAATTGCAATTCATCTGATCACTCTTCATAATATTCTGGAGTATATGCAAATTGCCATCATCAAAACTGAGGCAGCACTCTTTGAAAATTAGTATTTGTGTAATTCTCAAAACTTTTGACCAGGACTGTACACTTTGAAAATGAAAAGAGAGAATGTTAAATAGGCCAGTTGGAAAACAGACACATTCCATTTCACTTTGCACATTGCATTTACCATTTTCTGTTAAAGCTGCAATATGTAACTTTTTGGGTGACCTGACCAAATTCACATAGAAATTGGACTTATAGATCTGTCATTCTCGTTGAAAGCAAGTCTAAGAAGCGGTAGATCTGTTCTATGGGCACTATTTCTATGCTTCCGGTTCTTCAGTTTCGTTTTTGCGTCTTTTACTTTCGGTTTTGTACACCAGCTGAAAATAAAATGTTTTTGGTTATGGAAAATATATTTCTCAGCTTGTTTCAACTGAAATTTTGAATTTGAGCAACCAGGAAATGGGGGATCGATTTCTGCATAGTGCACCTTTAACAATTTGCCATTCATTTTCTTTTTACCATTTCCATTTAGAATTTTCAATAAACCATTTTAGATTTTTATTTTAACATTGCAATTTCATTGTGGCATTAATCATGCGCACTGTTATGAAACATATACATGCATTTATCATTTTCACATTCTTATTTAACCACCCTCCATAGACCAAGGTATTTTCTGAACCAGGAAACGCTCAGATTCCTCTCAACAATTGAGTCCGAGCATAACTGCATACGAATACACTAATGACGATGGATTTACACATATCGACGCATTTATTGGGATAGTGAGGGAATAGAGAGCATCAATAGATTTGGTTACAATTGTCTTATAGTGAATACACATTGCGGTAAGATTTGAACTGTGTCCGTCTAGCCTTATCATGTCAGACATATTAATCTTGGCATTTGTGATATCTATTCTATCTCATGGATATTATGTCGGAGCAAGTGTCAGGTCTGCGAGGGATGAGGTGAATTTAGAGTCTGTAAATCTGAATGTAGACCTCTCTCGAGTACTCAAGAGAGTGAACGAACGTTTTTTGTCTGTGGCCATAGATGCGAGTCTAGTCGCTGAAGAGAAGTTCATGTACCTTTTAACGTGAGTATTACTATTTTTGTGTTTCATAAAACGATTGCCTTATTATTTTTTAACCACCAGACTACCATTAGATTAAAAACAATTAGGTTCTATCATTTTTTTTGTTGTTGGCATAACAGCAACAGTTCAGAGACACCTCGGGCGTACTCATTACGCCGACAATGTTGTAAAACGTTTGTTAAACAAGCAAATGGAACGAAATGGGGAGGGACCTACCTGAATTTGTCCAATAGAAACTATTATTTTAGTTGCAAAACAACTGTTTGGACTAATGATTACACCCCAGTTGAAAAACGTTTTGCAACAGACAACCGTTTACTCTAGGATCCACCAAACGGAATGAGCTGAATGTGTCCAAGAGAAACTCTCGTTTTTGTTGCAAAACGTTTTCCGTTTGGAGTAAACGTTTCTGTTGCAAAAGTTTTGCAACAGACAACGTTTTGCAACGGAATCTGACTAATGAATACACTCCAGCTCAACTTACTCTTCCAAAACTGCATAAATACTGAACTAAACCTTCTTTCATTCCACCAGGTCTCCAAAGCTGAGGACATTGGCAAAAGCTTTAACCCCAGCATTTCTGAGATTTGGAGGGACAAGACAAGATTTCATGACCTTCAACCCTGCATTTTTACATTCAAATGAGTATCACAAAAACTCTGTTTTTGATGCAGGTAAATATGGCATACATTGTCACACATTTCAACTGCTTACTAGTCATATTACCACAGACAGTCATATCTCATATATAGCACCAGCAGCTCTTGTGATGTGAGTGTGTGTGGTTTGATTGTGGTCACTTACTTCCTCAGCACGATTCCTGTTTTGCATTAATGAGACTGAGAGAAGGAACAGTATGTTGATTCACACAGAGTCAGCTTGAATGCGCACAGTAGACCAGGCAGATCTCAAACAATATCATGAGTTTGAGGTAAATCTTAGGTCATCAGCTTCTGAGTGACTCACAGCCACTTGTTTTCTTACTCCTGCTTTCTATTCTGCTGTCAGATGATCTCTGTGAAAGGCTAGAGCTGCCCCCATTACTGGAGGAGAGGCTGAAGCAGGAATGGGCTCTACAGGAAGTACTTCTCCAGAAAGAGGACTTGCAGAGGAAATACCGGAGTGTAAAGTTCACAGGTATGAGCAATGGTTATGATGCAGGCAGCATCAGTCTAGTTCACAATCGACTGACTCATTTGATTAGCTAACCACCCATTTTCCCTTGAGCAAATAGTCTGAAAGAAGAAAACATTTAAAATATGTTTTTTTCCCTGGCAGAATATGCAGTGGATCTGCTGTACTCTTTTACAAACTGCTCTGGATTAGACCTCATCTTTGGGCTCAACGAGCTGCTCAGGACCACTGTCAACTCCTGGGACAGCAGCAATGCCAGGACCCTCATACAGTACTGTGAATCCAAACAGTACAGCATGTCCTGGGAGCTGGGCAATGGTAACAATTGCAGTTTGGTTCATTGATTGAATTGACTAAACAATTAAATACGTCAGCTACACACCAATACAATGGCAGCACATACAGTACCAGTCAAAAGTTTGGACACACCTACTCATTCAAGGGTTTTTCTTTATTTTCTACATTGTACAATAATAGTGAAGACATCAAAACTCTGAAATAACACATATGGAATCATGTAGTAAACAAAAAAGTGTTAAGCAAATTTGAGATTCTTCAAAGTAGCCACCCTTTGCCTTGATGACAGCTTTGCACACTCTTGGCATTCTCTCAACCAGCTTCACCTGGAATGCTTCCCACATATGCTGAGCACTTGTTGGCTGCTTTTCCTTCACTCTGCGGTCCGACTCATCCCAAACCATCTCAATTGGGTGGAGGTCGGGGGATTGTGGAGGCCAGGTCATCTGATGCAGCACTCCATCACTCTCCTTCTTGGTAAAATAGCCCTTACACAGCCTGGAGGTGTGTTGGGTCATTGTCCTGTTGAAAAACAAATGATAGTCCCACTAAGCCCAAACCAGATGGGATGGCGTATCGCTGCAGAATGCTGTGGTAGTCATGCTGGTTAAGTGTGCCTTGAATTCTAAATAAATCACAGACAGTGTCACCAGCAAAGCACCCAGACCAAAGGACACTTTTCCACCGGTCTAATGTCCATTGCTCGTGTTTCTTGGCCCAAGCAAGTCTCTTCTTTTTGTTGGTGTCCTTTAGTAGTGGTTTCATTGCAGCAATTCCACCATGAAGGCCTGATTCACACAGTCTCCTCTGAACAGTTGATGTTGAGATGTCTGTTACTTGAACTCTGTGAAGCATTTATTTGGGCTGCAATTTCTGAGTCTGGTAACTCTAATGAACTTATTCAATGCAGCAGAGGTAATTCTAGGTCTGCCATTCCTGTGGCGGTCCTCATGAGAGCCAGTTTCATCATAGCACTTGATGGTTTTTGCGACTGCACTTGAAGAAACTTTAAAAGTTATTGAAATGTTCAGGATTGACTGACCTTCATGTCTTAAAGTAATGGTGGACTGTTGTTTCTCTTTGCTTATTTGAGCTGTTCTTGCCATAATATGGACTTGGCCTTTTACCAAATAGGGCTATCTTCTGTGTACCTCCCCTATCTTGTCACAGCACAACTGATTGGCTCAAACGCATTAAGGAGGAAAGAAATTGAAATGCATTCCAGGTGACTACCTCATGAACCTGGTTGAGAGAATGCCAAGAGTGTGCAAAGCTGTCATCAAGGCAAAGGGTGGCTACTTTGAAGAATCTCAAATTTATTTAACACTTTTTTGGTTACTACATGATTCCATGTGTTATTTCATAGTTGTGATGTCTTCACTATTATTCTACAATGTAGAAAATAGTAAAAATTAAGAAAAACCCTTGAATGAGCAGCTGTATCCACATTTTTGACTTTTACAAATCATCAAGGATAACATAAAGTCTGACTTATGTACCTCTTAAAAATCCTGTCTCCATTCATATCAGAGCCCAACAGTTATGAAAAGAAGGCAGGGATCCGGGTGGACGGATACCAGCTGGGCCAGGATTTCGTTCAACTCCGCAAGATTCTGCGGGAATCCAAACTTTACCATGACACTGGAGTCTATGGACCAGACATTACCCAACCCCGAGACCACTCGAGAGACTTACTGGAGGGGTGAGAGTTTGGCCCTTTATATGTAGGTTATACATAAAGTAGTCCCAATATAGTCCTGTTGAACATGATGGTGTACTAACTAAAGCAATAGTATTGGAAGTCTCCTCGGTCAAAGTAAGAAACATATTTTCCCAAACATGAATAGGTTGTTGTTAACTAGAAAACGACTAAAGCAAAGAAAGTATTAATTATTATTAATTAAAAGATTATTCTACAATTGAATTACGACATGACCTGTCTATATTCATGGTTAAATATCACTTCCAATGCAATGGGAGACTAAACCCTGAATAATAGGCCACTTTGATTTAGACTGGTTTGTCCAGTTTATGGGCGTTTTCTGTCTTTTCACAGCCGTATTATACAATAAGGACAGAGTTGTATTACTGCTTCTCTCAATTACCTCCAGCTACTGCATGTCTATACCCAATACTCTGGTTCAAACCTAAACTGTTAATAATAACACCAACTCATATCTAAAAGGCACAAAGTAAATCAAACATTTCCTGTCTCTTTTCCCTATTGGGAAAACTCCTTTATGTTTTACAGTGTATGGGACAAACTCTCAACCCTTCCAGTGTGTCTCAGGTGGTCTCAGGGCTGGTTAACGTTGGGTCAATAGATTATTCTCACATAACTACCAATCATGTGGGATATTATATATTTATATACAGTGCCTTCAGTATTCAGACCATTTTACTTTTTCCACAGCAATCTACGTATGACACCCCATAATCACAAAGCGAAAATAGGTTTTTAGAATGTTTTACAAATTTATTAAATATAAAAAACAGAAATACCTTATTTACATAAGTATTCAGACGCTTTGCTATGAGACTCGAAATTGAGCTCAGGTGCATCCTTTTTCCATTGATCATCCTTGAGATGTTTCTACAACTTGATTGGAGTCCACCTGGGATAAATTCACTTGATTGAACATGATTTGAAAAGGTACACACCTGTCTATGTAAGGTCCCACAGTTGACAGTGTATGTCAGAGTAAAAACCAAGCCATGAGGTGGAAGGAATGGTCCATAGAGCTCCGAGACAGGATTGTGTCGAGGCACAGATCTGGGGAAGGGTACCAAAAAATGTCTGCAGCATTGAAGGTCTCCAAGAACACAGTTACTACATGGAAGCATGTAGTAACCAAAAAAGTGTTAAACAAATCAAAATATATTTGAGATTCTTCAAACTTGCCACCATTTGCTTTGATGACAGCTTTGCACACTATTAACAATCATATCCTATTTACTTTTCATAGGTTCTTGGAGAGTGGGGCAGAAGCGATTGATGCATGCACCTGGCACCAGTAAGTTGAACTGTCTGTCCTCACCTAGCACACAGTGATTGATCAGATGTCACATGTTGCTGCTTTTGACTTTGACACACAGACACTGAACAAACACAGGGTTAGTTTATCAGTGTGCTTGGGAGGTTGGGCACGTGGGGTTGTCACAAGGGGAAAGCGGAACTGTTTGTAAAGGCTTGCACATGAGTCTGTCAGATGAGGGATGTACTTTTCAGTCTGAACACCGTAGAATATGTACATTAGGTTTATTTTCATTCTTTAATCACAGACATTTTACTGATACATTTATGTTTATGTCGTGTCACTTTGATATGAAGAACTGATCTTTAATTGTCTATTCTGTCTTTTTATTAGTTACTATGTCAACGGAAGACAAACGTCTTTAGAAGATTTCCTAGACCCTGAGGTGCTAAACACTTTAGCCCTGAAAACACGTGAAGTCATGGAGGTAATGAAAAGATGTGTTAATACATGTCTAATCATAGTATTTACAGTTGAAGTCGGAAGTTTACATACACTTAGGTTGGAGTCATTAAAACTCATTTTTCAACCACTTCACAAATTACTTGTTAACAAACTATAGTTTTGGCAAGTCGGTTAGGACATCTACTTTGTGCATGACACAAGTAATCTTTCCAACAATTGTTTACAGACAGATTATTTCACTTATAATTTTTACATTTTAGTCATTTAGCAGACGCTCTTATCCAGAGCGACTTACAGTTAGTGAGTGCATACATTTTTTCATACTGCCCCCCCGTGGGAAACGAACCCACAACCCTGGCGTTGCAAGTGCCATGCTCTACCAACTGAGCTACACGGGGCCATAATTCACTGTATCACAATTCCAATGGGTCAGAAGTTTACATACACTAAGTTGACTGTGCCTTTAAACAGCTTGGAAAACTCCAGAAAATGATGTCATGGCTTTAGAAGCTTCTGATAGGCTAATTGACATAATTTGAGTCAATTGGAGGTGTACCTGTGGATATATTTCAAGGCCTACCTTCAAACTCAGTGCCTCTTTGCTTGACATCATGGGAAAATCAAAATAAATCAGCCAAGACCTCAGAAAAAAAATTGTAGACACAATTCTGGTTCATCCTTGGGAGCAATTTCCAAACGCCTGAAGGTACCACGTTCATCTGTACAAACAATAGTACGCAAGTATAAACACCATGGGACCATGCTGCCGTCATACCGCTCAGGAAGGAGACGCGTTATGTCTCCTAGAGATTAACGTTCTTTGGTACGAAAAGTGCAAATCAATCCCAGAACAACAGCAAAGGACCTTGTGAAGATGCTGGAGGAAACAGGTACAAAAGTATCTATATCCACAGTAAAACCAGTCCTATATCGACATAACCTGAAAGGCCGCTCCGCAAGGAAGAAGCCACTGCTCCAAAACCGCCATAAAAAAGCCAGACTACGGTTTGCAACTGCACATGGGGACAAAGATCATACTTTTTTGAGAAATGTCCTCTGGTCTGATGAAACAAAAATAGAACTTTTTGGCCATAATGACCATCATTATGTTTGGAGGAAAAAGGGGGATGCTTGCAAGCCGAAGAACACCATCACAATCGTGAAGCACGGGGGTGGCAGCATCATGCTGTGGGGGTGCTTTGCTGCAGGAGGGACTTGTGCACTTCACAAAATAGATGGCATTATGAGGAAGGAAAATTATGTGGATATATTAAAGCAACATCTCAAGACATCAATCAGGAAGTTAAAGCTTGCCCCAAGCATACTTCCAAAGTTGTGGCAAAATTGCTTAAGGACAACAAAGTCAAGGTATTGGAGTGGCTATCACAAAGCCCTGACCTCAATCCTATAGAAAATGTGTGGGCAGAATTGAAAAAGCGTGTGCGAGCAAGGAGGCCTACAAACCTGACTCAGTTACACCAGCTCTGTCAGGAGGAATGGGCCAAAATTCACCCAACGTATTGTGGGAAGCTTGTGGAAGGCTACCCAAAAAGTTTGATCCAAGTTAAACAATTTAAAGGCAATGCTACCAAATACTAATTGAGTGTATGTAAACTTCTGACCCACTGGGAATGTGATGAAAGAAATAAAAGCTTAAATAAATCATTCTTTCAACAATTATTCTGACATTTTCACATTCTTAAAATAAAGTGGTGATCCTAACTGACCTAAGACAGGGAATATTTACTAGGATTAAATGTCAGGAATTGTGAAAAACTGAGTTTAAATGTATTTGGCTAAGGTGTACAGTGGGGAAAAAAGTATTTAGTCAGCCACTAATTGTGCAAGTTCTCCCACTTAAAAAGATGAGAGAGGCCTGTAATTTTGATCATAGGTACACGTCAACTATGACAGACAAAATGAGAAACAAAAATCCAGAAAATCACATTGTAGGATTTTTTATGAATTTATTTGCAAATTATGGTGGAAAATAAGTATTTGGTCAATAACAAAAGTTTCTCAATACTTTGTTATACACCCTTTGTTGGCAATGACACAGGTCAAACGTTTTCTGTAAGTCTTCACAAGGTTTTCACACACTGTTGTTGGTATTTTGGCCCATGCAGATCTCCTCTAGAGCAGTGATGTTTTGGGGCTGTCGCTGGGCAACACAGACTTTCAACTCCCTCCAAAGATTTTCTATGGGGTTGAGATCTGGAGACTGGCTAGGCCACTCCAGGACCTTGAAATGCTTCTTACGAAGCCACTCCTTCGTTGCCCGGGCGGTGTGTTTGGGATCATTGTCATGCTGAAAGACCCAGCCACGTTTCATCTTCAATGCCCTTGCTGATGGAAGGAGGTTTTCACTCAAAATCTCACGATACATGGCCCCATTCATTCTTTCCTTTACACGGATCAGTCGTCCTGGTCCCTTTGCAGAAAAACAGCCCCAAAGCATGATGTTTCCACCCCCATGCTTCACAGTAGGTATGGTGTTCTTTGGAGGCAACTCAGCATTCTTTGTCCTCCAAACACAACGAGTTGAGTTTTTACCAAAAAGTTATATTTTGGTTTCATCTGACATTCTCCCAATCCTCTTCTGGATCATCCAAATGCACTCTAGCAAACTTCAGATGGGCCTGGACATGTACTGGCTTAAGCAAGGGGACACGTCTTGCACTGCAGGATTTGAGTCCCTGGAGGCGTAGTGTGATACTGATGGTAGGCTTTGTTACTTTGGTCCCAGCTCTTTGCAGGTCATTCACTAGGTCCCCCCGTGTGGTTCTGGGATTTTTGCTCACCGTTCTTGTGATCATTTTGACCCCACGGGGTGAGATCTTGCGTGGAGCCCCAGATCGAGGGAGATTATCTGTGGTCTTGTATGTCTTCCATTTCCTAATAATTGCTCCCACAGTTGATTTCTTCAAACCAAGCTGCTTACCTATTGCAGATTCAGTCTTCCCAGCCTGGTGCAGGTCTACAATTTTGTTTCTGGTGTCCTTTGACAGCTCTTTGGTCTTGGCCATAGTGGAGTTTGGAGTGTGACTGTTTGAGGTTGTGGACAGGTGTCTTTTATACTGATAACAAGTTCAAACAGGTGCCATTAATACAGGTAACGAGTGGAGGACAGAGGAGCCTCTTAAAGAAGAAGTTACAGGTCTGTGAGAGCCAGAAATCTTGCTTGTTTGTAGGTGACCAAATACTTATTTTCCAGCATAATATGCAAATAAATTCATTACAAATCCTACAATTTGATTTTCTGGATATTTTTTTCTCAATTTGTCTGTCATAGTTGATGTGTACCTATGATGAAAATTACAGGCCTCTCTCATCTTTTTAAGTGGGAGAACCTGCACAATTGGTGACTGACTAAATACTTTTTTTCCCCACTGTATGTAAACTTCCGACTTCAACTGTAACATATATTTTTAATTTTATAGATGAGTGCCAGTGCTCAGCAATTTCACAGGATATAAATGTTTATATAGTTCAGTAAAGGCAATTAACTGGTTCTTCTGTGTCTTGTGTCCTCAGACTGTTGATCTGGCATCCCCTGGGAAGAAGGTGTGGCTTGGGGAGACTAGTTCTGCCTATGGAGGCGGGGCTAAGGGGCTGTCTGACACATTTGTCGCTGGATTCATGTGAGTGTATGTCTGTGTGTGTTTGTGATCACAGAAAGATAGACCCAGTCAGTATCATACCCTGATACCATGTGAGCCAGAGTGATCATTTTCGTCTGACTGCTCCACTGTGGGAAGAGAGACTATAGACAGCCTAGCTTTGCACGCTTAGTGCACTGGCAGCAGTTGAGTCAATGATGTTGTTAGTCTACTCTCATGGAAGGGAATCTCTGCTATTTGGGAATGTGGATTTCATTGAATTTACAGGTCACCGGTCAGCCTGCGTCTCATGATCAGTTTTTCAACCATGCCCTGTTCCAGGAAGGCTAAGAAATAGTAGGCTTGCGTGCCAAATTATTTTAAAGGAATCCCACAAAAATGCATGTGTCCCATGATGTATCCAACATTGATTTAATCCAGTGTGAGGGAAGTATTTTTTTACAAAGGATTACATCTAATGTAATTCTCATTGAGTCTGAATACGGTTGGTTGTTTCTAGATCAGATTATATGTGGCTAAATCTCATTATTGCCCCAAAAAACTTTATAGTGTCTTGAAACAGTACTGCAGGGGTGGCAACCCTGTTCCTGGAATGCCGCAGGTACTGCAGGATTTTCTTCCAACTAGGCACCACACCTGACCAACTGAGCTAATTGATCAGTTCAGTGATTGCCTAAATTCAACACACCTGGTCCTCCTGGTTGGTTAAATCAAAAACATGAAGTGCCTGCGGCACTCCAGGACCAGGGTTGCCTACCCCTGCAGTACTGTATTTGTGGTGTAAAATAACTGTTTAATGATTACAGGTGGCTGGATAAACTGGGCCTGGGTGCGAAGCTTGGCTTAGATGTTGTAATCAGGCAGGTTTTGATTGGATCTGGGACTTACCACCTGGTAGATGATAACCTCGATCCACTTCCTGTAAGAGAAATTGTTGTTTATTCTCCTTCTGTCTTTTGAATTCCTGAAAAAACGGCAATGATCAAATTAAGTATTTTTTAAATTGTGACAATGTTTGTATCACTATGGCAGGATTACTGGCTATCAGTTCTGTACAAGAGGCTTGTTGGACCAGAGGTGCTGAGTATAGAAGCCTTTTCCATTTTGGGAAAGATGAAAAGAGTACGGGTCTACCTGCACTGCACTAACAAGAAAAGGTATTTCACAATCCAGCTGTATTTAAAGATGGAATCTGTGTTAGGCGAAACAGCGCCACTGTTCGTCCCCATAACCTTTGTTTTGTTGATTAAATGGAGGTGAGGAACCTCCAGCAGCATGGTAAAAACAATTGCAGCACATATTCTGCTGTTCTATACGCATGCAATGAAACAAAGTGTTTGTTGTTTCCAGTAACTTCTTTGTTGTTGAAATGTCTCAAACGGATGTGGCAGTTTCACCAATTTAAGGATTCCAGCTTTAAGATGTGAGACAACCATCCTGTGTTTGTGAGACAACCATAATGTGTTTGTGAGACAGATGTGAGACAACCATCATGTGTTTGTGAGACAGATGTGAGACAACCATCATGTGTTTGTGAGACAGATGTGAGACAACCATCCTGTGTTTGTGAGACAACCATCATGTGTTTGTGAGACAGATGTGAGACAACCATCATGTGTTTGTGAGACAACCATCATGTGTTTGTGAGACAGATGTGAGACAACCATCATGTGTTTGTGAGACAGATGTGAGACAACCATCATGTGTTTGTGAGACAGATGTGAGACAACCATCCTGTGTTTGTGAGACAACCATCATGTGTTTGTGAGACAGATGTGAGACAACCATCATGTGTTTGTGAGACAACCATCATGTGTTTGTGAGACAGATGTGAGACAACCATCATGTGTTTGTGAGACAGATGTGAGACAACCATCATGTGTTTGTGAGACAACCATCAGGCCTGTTCCTCAATGTTATCTTCCTCTCTTCTCCAGTACAAGCTACAAAAGTGGAGCAGTCACATTGTTTGCTCTGAACCTGAGTAAGAGCCCTGTGAAGATCGCTGTGCCTGCCATGGTCTCTAACAGCACTGTAGAGGCCTTTGTTCTTCAGTCTGAACAGCCTGGCAAGGAGGGACTCTACTCCAAGTAGGCTACCATTTAACCTTTATTCCCATCAATGGGATCACTAACCTTAAGTTTGTTTCTTGAACCTTTTTGCTATGTTTTTATTAGTACTGTACAAGTAAGTGTTACCTGTTTTGCTTTTGTCTTGCCTTGTAACATTGTCAGTGTAAACAATGCCGTGCTAAAATACGATAGAAAGGAGACTAACAGTGTGCTGTGATCTCCAGGTCTGTGAAACTCAACGGAGAGGTGTTGAAGATGGTGGATGACAGAACTCTTCCATCGCTCCAGGGAACCCCTCTTGCTGCAGGAGAACATCTCAGACTCCCTGGTTATTCCTTTGCCTTCTATGTCCTCAGCAAGGCCCAGGCACTGGCCTGCCGATGACCCCAACTGGAGAGGAGGACTTGAGAAGATGGAGGTAAACTCACTGTCTAGACTAAGAGAAGGAAACACTTGACTATTACTCTAAACACTGCTGTATGTTTTTGCCAAAGAATGTTAACCAGGTGAATGTGGTGAAAGGATTCAATCATTTTTATAAAATAATTTTGTTTTCATCTACATATATTACATTTTGTATATTTTTTAAACATGTATAGTCTTAATACCTTGTGAGTAGTGTTTAAATGTTCAAAGGAATCCAAAGGTTTCATTCCATGTCTTGGTAGAAAATGTTGTTTAGGCAATACTTAAATGTACTTAAATGTACTAAACCTGAGCCTAAACACAACTTGTTTACATTCTGTTTACACTTAATAGTTGAATTGTGCAATTTTTGATTTTATGAACTTTCTGTTTGTGATATCTTTACCAAATTATTTTTGATGAGAAAATAAATGCAGTAATGAATTCAAAGCATGTCATGCTATAAAGTTGATATTCTTTATTTTATATTCTCTTAATACCAGTATTTAACATTTGAATCAGCTAGGGTCATTAATGCAAACTTTATTCACATTTTATACACAGAACAGGCAGTAGTACCATCAGCCCCTGTCTGATGTTGACAACACTATCATGGACGTTGATATGACGTCGACAGATCCTTTACTCCTCCTGTTCCTCCTTGTGTGTGATGATGTAACAGAGGTATTTTATATTCCACGTTTCCTGCTGGGTCGGTGGTAGATGACTGGAACATCTGTTTCACCTAAAATTACATTGATTAAGTATTAGGGGTATTCATGTTACTTATTGTCAAACAATAAACAGAGGTTAGCACACAGCCTACTGTAAGTATAGTACTGGGTTTATCTAGCCTGCTATACACCTGACCTGCGGATGCTCCAAATTGTCCACAAAAGAAATCTTTATATCATACATTTAAAAAGGTTTACAGATTTAAAAGTTATCTGCTTCTTACCTCCTCGGCTGTAAACTTGTCTGCTTGTGTCATCAGTATGCGCAATTAGATACATCAGTAGAATGTGATTATGCTCGTACACACTTTCAAAGTTAACATAACCTTTGATACATCACAGCATTATTGATCAAAATCAGGTCTAATCTACATACTCGTCTTTGTGTACATGACCCTTGTCCTCAGGATCAAACATTCTAAAGGCGTTGAGAATGGTATCTTCTGGGTCTGTTCCATGCAACTTCTCTCCAAACTGGTTGAGGAACATGGTGAAGTTGATGGGACCACTGGCCTCTTTGAACATGTCTTCTAGCTCTTTGTCCTTCACATTCAGTTTACCTGAAGGATAGATGAGATCTTAGACATTGCAGACATTCAAACAACCATTAGCTGTTCTACAGTAAGTGATATTCAGTTATTCAGAAGATATCATTGAAATACTGATCAAGAAATGCATAGGTATCCTTTAGAGCTTCTTTGTCAATGAACCCATCTTTATTCTGGTTGAATGCCTAGCTTAGGGGAAGAAAGGTCTTAAAGTAATTTGATGTAAAGAACAAACATCATATTTTTTCCTTACTCACAACTTTGATTGGGCACACTGACCATGTTTACACAGTATTCCGGATAGTAGCTCATATCCTGCTTAAGGTCGTATTTGGGATAAGCTGTTTACATGCACCTACTGTAGCTGGAGGAAAATGGGGGAGGGTCATGCTTTTTCAATTTCAGTCAGGCGGAGGGTTTAGTATTCTTTAATTTAACCCAGGGGATGGTCATGTCATTTGTAATCGATTAAATGTCAGCATTTTGGAATTTACGTATTGAATTCGACTGTGTAACCCTCTCTCTCTCTGTCTCTGTCTCTCTCTCATTCTCCTCTTTGAGCCCGGCTGGGTGGGTATTTCGCATATGCCTTTCCATTGACTGTTCGATCAGTCTCTCTTTGTGCTTAGCGTATCCAGAACGTGGGCATGTAGATACAAAACCTAGGAGGCTCATGGTTCTCACTCCCTTACATAGATTTACACAGTAATTATGACAACTTCCGGAGGACGTCCTCCAACCTATCAGAGCTCTTGCAGCATGAACTGACATGTTGTCCACCCAATCAAAGGATCAGAAAATGAATCTACTACTGAAATAAAAAGCTACAGCTAGCTAGCACGGCAGTGCATAAAATATGTTGAGTAGTTGACTCAAAGAGAGAGAAGACAATAGTTAAACAGTTTTGAACAAATTAAGTTATTACAAAATAAAGGAGAATCGAGAGAGCTATATTTTGGTTAATTTTATTTCACTTTCACTTACTTAGCTAGGAATTGCAGCTAGCTAGAGGGATGCTATGTTAGCTAGCTGGCTATGGCTATCCAGCACTGGAACTCTTAAAAGTCAAGGTAAGCTTTTGGTTTTATTCATTTATTGCCACCGGGACCCGCCGGTGTAACTACTAAACTGCTTACTGCTGACTGTACACTGTACAGCATGATTATAGCGGCTTTACTAACGTGTTAGTTCTAGTAGCTATGTTGACTATGACGTTAATATGGTGACAACAATGTAGGCTGCGTGTAGCGGTTATGAAATGAAGGTTTGGCTTGGAAAGTTTTTTTTTTTTGCCTGGTCCCAGAAAGCTGATGTGTTGTGCACTGAAGTCCACAAGCGAAGGGTAAAGGTGAGAGGAGAGCGCGTAGATGCGAGAAGGAATACAACGATCAAAGGGATCATGCTGTTATGTGGCTGCTATGAAAGTGAACTGTGTTGGCATGTGATCAGGGGTGTATTCATTCCGCCAATTCTGTTGAAAAACTTTTCTTAAACTGAAGCAAACGAAACAAAACGGGGATAAACATACCTGAATCTGTCCAACAAACTCTCGTTTGCAACTGTTGGACTAATGATTACACCCTAGATCAGCTAGATGCAGGCACGAGTGTGCAAGGCGGTATTGAATGTGTCAATGTCTGTCACCTTGATTACTAAAATGTATCTCGACCTGTGCACCTACGTTTAAAACGTTCATTCATAGGCAAGGTTGTAGCAACCTCTTGATGAGTATAGGGTAAAGTAGTGCACTGGGCCTATAATAGTCCTGTATTAGCCGACCGATATAGCCGTCTGCAGAGCGGGAAAAACTTTTCACAATACTGTGCACTGGCACTCATCTATAAAAATATACTATGATTAGACACATTTCCACACAGTGGTGGAAAAAGTACCCAATTGTCATACTTGAGTAAAAGTAAAGATACCTTAATAGAAAATGACTCAAGTAAAAGTGAAAGTCACCCAGTAAAATACTACTTGAGTAAAAGTATTTGGTTTAAAACATACTTAAGTATCAAAAGTAAATTTAATTGCAAAAATATACTTAAGTATCAAATGTAAAAGTACAAGTATAAATCATTTCAAAATTGCTTATATTAAGCAAACCAGACGGCACAATTTTCTTGTTTTTTAAATTTACGGATAGCCAGGGGCACAATACAACACGCAGACATAATTTACAAACAAAAGTATTAATGTTTAGTGAGTCCTCCAGATCAGAGGCAGTAGGGATGACCAGGGATGTTCTCTTGATAAGTGTGTGAGTTGGACCATTTTCCTGTCCTGCTAAGCATTCAAAATGTAATGAGTACTTTTGGGTGTCAGGGAAAATGTATGGAGTAAAAAGTACATTATTTTCTTTAGGAATGTAGTGAAGTAAAAGTTGTCAAAAATATAAAAAGTAAAGTACAGATACCCAAAAAAACAACTTATGTAGTACTTTAAGGTATTTTTACTTAAGTACTTTACACCACTGTTTCCACATCTTTTCATTACCTCCATGACTTCATGTGTTTTCAGGGCCAAAGTGTTTAGCACCTCAGGGTCTAGGAAATCTTCTAAAGACATGTCTCTTCCGTTGACATAGTAACTAATAAAAGGACAGAGTAGTCGATTAAAGATCAGTTCTTAATATCAAAGTGACACGACAAACATATGTATCATTAAAATGTCTGTGATTGAAGAATGAAAATAAACCTAATATACATATTCTATGGTGTTCAGACTGAAAGTACATCCCTCATCTGACAGACTCATGTGCAAGCCTTTACAAACAGTTCCTCTTTCCCCTTGTGACAACCCCACGTGTCCAACATCCCAAGCACATTGATAAACTAACCCTGTATTTGTTCAGTGTCTGTGTGTCAAAGTCAAAAGCAGCAACATGTGACATCTGATCCATCACTGTGTGCTAGGTGAGGACAGACAGTTCAACTTAATGGTGCCAGGTGCATGCATCAATCGCTTCTGCCCCACTCTCCAAGAACCTATGAAAAATAAATAGGATTGTTCAATATTTTATATATACTGTGTGTGTGTGTGTACAGTGCCTTGCAAAAGTATTCATCCCCCTTGGCGTTTTTCCTATTTTGTTGCATTACAACATGTAATTTAAATAGATTTTTATTTGGATTTCATGTAATGGACATACACAAAATAGTCCAAATTGGTTAATTGAAATAAAAAAAATAACTTGTTTCAAAAAATTATAAATGATAAATAACGGAAAAGTGGTGCGTGCATATGTATTCACCCCCTTTGCTATGAAGCCCCTAAATAAGATCTGGGGCAACCAATTACCTTCAGAAGTCACATAATTAGTGAAATAAAGTCCACCTGTGTGCAATCTAAGTGTCACATGATCTGTCACATGATCTCAATATATATACACCTGTTCTGAAAGGCCCCGGAGTCTGCAACACCACTAAGCAAGGGGCACACCAAGCAAGCGGCACCATGAAGACCAAGGAGCTCTCCAAACAGGTCAGGGACAAAGTTGTGGAGAAGTACAGATAAGAGTTGGGTTCTAAAAAAATATCAGAAACTTAGAACATCCCACGGAGCACCATTTAAATCATTGTAAAAAAATTGAAAGAATATGGCACCACAACGAACCTGCCAAGAGAGGTCCGCCCACCAAAACTCACGGACCAGGCAAGGAGGGCATTAATCAGAGAGGCAACAAAGATAACCCTGCAAAGCTCCACAGCGGAGATTGGAGTATCTGTCCATAGGACCAATTTAAGCCGTACACTCCACAGTGCTGGGCTTTACGGAAGAGTGGCCAGAAAAAAGCCATTGCTTCATGAAAAAAATAAGCGAACACGTTTGGTGTTCGCCAAAAGCCATGTGGGAGACTCCCCAAACATATGGAAGAAGGGACTCTGGTCAGATGAGACTAAAATTGAGCTTTTTGGCCATGAAGGAAAATGCTATGTCTGTCGCAAACCCAACACCTTTCATCACTCCAAGAACACCATCCCCACAGTGAAGCATGGTGGTGGCAGCATCATGCTGTGGGTATGTTTTTCATCGGCAGGGACTGGGAAACTGGTCAGAATTGAAGGAATGATGGATGGCGCTAAATACAGGGAAATTCTTGAGTGAAACCTGTTTCAGTCTTCCAGAGATTTGAGACTGGGACGGAGGTTCACCTTCCAGCAGGACAATGACCCTAAGCATACTGCTAAAGCAACACTCGAGTGGTTTAAGGGGAAACATTTAAATGTCTTGGAATGGTCAAAGCCCAGACCTCAATCAAATTGAGAATCTGTGGTATCACTTAAAGATTGCTGTACACCAGCGGAACCCATCCAACTTGAAGGAGCTGGAGCCATTTTAATTCCAGGTTGTAAGGCAACAAAATAGGAAAAATGCCAAGGGGGGGTGAATACTTTCGTAACCCACTATATATACAGTGGGGAAAAAAAGTATTTAGTCAGCCACCAATTGTGCAAGTTCTCCCACTTAAAAAGATGAGAGAGGCCTGTAATTTTCATCATAGGTACACGTCAACTATGACAGACAAAATGAGAAAAAAAAATCCAGAAAATCACATTGTAGGATTTTTTATGAATTTATTGGCATATGATGGTGGAAAATAAGTATTTGGTCAATAACAAAAGTTTCTCAATACTTTGTTATTTACCCTTTGTTGGAAATGACACAGGTCAAACGTTTTCTGTAAGTCTTCACAAGGTTTTCACACACTGTTGCTGGTATTTTGGCCCATTCCTCCATGCAGATCTCCTCTAGAGCAGTGATGTTTTGGGGCTGTCGCTGGGCAACACAGACTTTCAACTCCCTCCAAAGATTTTCTATGGGGTTGAGATCTGGTGACTGGCTAGGCCACTCCAGGACCTTGAAATGCTTCTTACGAAGCCACTCCTTCGTTGCCCGGGCGGTGTGTTTGGGATCATTGTCATGCTGAAAGACCCAGCCACGTTTCATCTTCAATGCCCTTGCTGATGGAAGGAGGTTTTCTCTCAAAATCTCACGATACATGGCCCCATTCATTCTTTCCTTTACACGGATCAGTCGTCCTGGTCCCTTTGCAGAAAAACAGCCCCAAAGCATGATGTTTCCAACCCCATGCTTCACAGTAGGTATGGTGTTCTTTGGATGCAACTCAGCATTCTTTGTCCTCCAAACATGACGAGTTGAGTT